CGCATTTTTGGGGAGGCCTGGGAATTAAGAAGGTACGACGTATGAGTGATATATACTTTATTGTGAATGTTACAATTCAGATTTCACAAATGAATGATTCATGCATAAATAATTATGAATTGGTTTTTATTATTTGGTTTTTTTCGATATGTAATTATTTGTCACTATAAATGAATAGTTAAATATGTCACATTTTGAAAATGAAATCTAAAGAAATTCACTAAAAGTAAAACAAAATGAATTAGTTTTAATTAATTTTTACAAACACTTTTCTTGCTTTTTGTTCTGAAAATGCAGCAATTATATTTGAAAAATCTAGTCTTCATGCAATATCGCAATTTATATTCAACATAGCAAGTCCATTCAACCGTTCCTGCCTCATAGTTGAACAATGATAATTTTTTATCTGCTTTAAAACATTAAATGTGCGTTCGCCCAAAGCCGTCGATGCAGGCTGATAAAAATTCCTAATGCAATTGTAATGTTTGGAAAGACACCTGAAAGATTAAGTCCAAGTATTCCTTCCAGCAATTTTTTTGGTGTGCAGTCTAGTTTAAAATTAGCACCATAGATTCTTTTAAAAAATAAAACCTCATTTTCAAGTTCTTGTGATATTTCTTTGTCATATTTGTGTTGAAAATGTTGAGCAGCCAATACAAGATCTTCGTTATTCAAATTTTTAAACTGCCAGAGAAATCCAAAAAGTTTACAAATTTCTTGTAAAGACTGAAATCGTCGCATGAGGCCAGATTTAATTGAGTCAATGATGACAAAATATACATTGATTTTATAATACAACTCAGTATCATCTTGACTTGGAAAATGACGATTAGTTAAAAACTCACATGAAACACCAATATTTCTTGCAACAAATTTTGACTCATTTAAAATCTTATCAAATTGTTCACGCAAAATTTGAATGTCAGTACATAGATTTTCAATGTTAGCTTTTTCAATATCAAGAGTGGCATGGCGTGCCTCGATGATTAGATTTGTCTGATAAATCATTGTGAGTAGCTTCATCCAGATAGACGACATCAAAATGCAATCAAATTTGGAAATATACTTTTGAATAGCATTGAGTTCCATTTTAGCCTGGGCTGTTAAATGTAGCACCCCAAGTTCATTTAAAGCACTTCTTATTGAGTTCAAATGTTGTGCAACTGGTTTAACACCATCAATCCGTGCTGACCATCTTGTTTTGGACATTCCATGCAATGAAACGGGAAGATGTTGTTTTAAAATTTCACACCTTTGAGGACTGCTACTAAATAAATTTGCTGAATTGTTCCAAAATACGTTACTGCTTCTTTGCATTATTCAGCGCAATCGACACCAACTAAATTTAATGGGTGATTTCCACAGCTAGAAAACATACAGTTTGGATTTTGTTGTATCAAAACCGCTTGCACCCCGTTATACTTTCCAGCCATATTAGTGCCGTTGTCGTAAGCTTGACCAATGCAGGCTTCGAATCCAGCTTCAAAGTTTTCAATATTTCTAGTGTTCGAGCAGCGATTTCTCTTCCAGTTTTTTTTGAAAAATTTTCAAATAAAATAAATCTTTCTTCAACTGAAAAGTTTGAATTATCTAAAATTTTAACATAACGAATAACCAGATTAGTTTGCTCCTTGTACAAGCAATCTGGAGTAGCATCAACTATTATTAAAAAATATTTTGCTTTCACAATTTCGTGGAGGATTGCTGTTTGAATGTGTGAACCACAAATATCAATAAATTCGTTCTGAATTCGCATTGAAAGATAATGAGCTTGCATTCGCTGCTTACACTGTTGTGATTCTCGAACATGTTTAACATGCTCAGCTATAAGTGGGTCATATTTGCTAAGAAGCTCAATAATACCTTAAAAGTTTCTATTCGCTCGATCACCTATTCGTTGGTTAGAACCAAAAAGTGCTAATCCACGTTCAGAAAGAAAAATAATATCATCTAGAATATGTTGGAATAATTTTTTCCAATTTTCAGTTTCAGTCTTGAGTTCTGATAAAAGTAAATTATCCACTGAAGTTTCACATAATCCTGCTCTACTAGCAGATTTCCATACAACATAGTTTTCTTTATGATAAATTGAACTTTCATGCGAAGGAATACAATCTTTCAATCTTCTCCAACCTCTACTGATGCCCCATCCGACAGAACTAGAGAAAAATGATACATTTGCAACATTTTTGTTAAAAAGAAAACATGGTGCACAATACAAAGATTGTTTTTCAACACTCCAGCACAACCAGTCTCTTTTGCATGTTTCTCCATTTGCAAGAGTTTTGTTTAAGAAACAATAAGGAAATGCATGATGATTAGAGTCTTTAACGATATTATTTGGAATTTCAAAACAAGTAATCTTAAGAAAAGAGTTCACTTGACAAGAATTGTTCTTGTTGATAATCCCAATGTCAATAAAATTGAACGGATAACCTTGATGAATTGGATCAGTTATTTCTGTTTCCATGTCTCTAATTTTATTTTCACCTGCATTTTCCTGTAATGAGATTTCGGTTTCAACCCGTTCCTGGTTTATAATATTTAAATTTCCTGCTGGTTGTTGTTTCAAAATTAGGTCTTCTGCAATTGGAACAACTATATTTTCAATGTTACCATTGTCACTCACACTTTGAGTTTGGTTTGCTTGTTCAATTTGAACTGTGTTTTGTGATTTTTTTAAAAACTAATATATTTTCTTTGTGTTGGTGCATGCTTCTTCGGCCAATTCTTTTCTCAGCCGCCTTTTACTTGCACCACTATCAAATCTTCTCTTCATTTTAATGGTATCTGGAAATAATATTGAAATTTGAAAATATAATAAATTTATTCATAAATCGAACTTATACAAATTTATAAAACGAATTATGTTTTAAAATTAAAAAATATTTACCAGAACAAAAAAATATTACTATTCTCAAAGTTACGAAATGTACAAAAGCGCAATATATCAATTTTATACAAAATGATAAGAAACAGTTCAAAACAAATTGATTTATTCTTGTTTGATGAATTACAACTAAAAAATTTAAGAAAAAATGAAGCTACTGAAAAGCAGAACACTAAGGCATAACTTAAAAACTCGTACGAGTTAAAAGTAATTGTATCAATTTGATCAAGCGCGCCCGACGGAAGGTTAATTGCATCATTACATGACCTAATCTTTATCATGTCGAATTTAGGTTTGGAAATGTGTAATTATGAAAAAGAAATTAATTTATTATTTTAAGTTAACCTAAAGTTATATTGTTTAGAATAATTAGATTAAAATAATTACTTTGATATTTTCGTGTTTAACAAATGTGTTTTGAAAATGTGAGGCCCCAACAAAATCGAAGGCCCAGGCCATATGGCCCATGTGGCTCCCCCTCTAAAAGGGCCTGTATATATATATATATATATATATATATATATATATATATATATATATATATATATATAATTCTAGTATGATATATCCATATTGCTGTTGCCATTATAAGAATATATTTTTATTTACAGTGGAATAATTCCTTTCTTCATGACATCATAAAAGAATTTAGAAATTATGTTATTTTGAAAACTTACTTTTTCAGTGTCATAGAGTATTTCTACTTCTAAAAAATATTTTTATAAGTTTTTGTGTTTGTTTTTAGATTAGAAACATACAATTTTTTTACTAACTTGATAACTATGAAACATTAAGATGTTTATTGTTAAGTAATAGAGGGTTGGAAACAAAACCAAAAAAAAGCAGCTTTACTGACCTGAGAATCCAATTGAAATTTATCTTAGTTATTTGAATACCTTAATCATATTATTTTTGTTGATTTTTACAATAATTGATAAATTTAACAATATCAATTTATGTTCATTCCATATCTTGATGAAGTGAGTTTATAACAACTTTTGTCATTTAAAATTCTTAAATATTACAAAGATTATGCTGTAAAAAGTGCTGTAAAAATGTAATATGTTATATGCTTAATACAACTTTATTTAAACTTGTATTTTTGAGAGTTGCTTAGACTAAATTGTGTGTAATGGCTTCTAGAATGAAAACATTGTAAGTATATTTAGAACTCTGTAATAAATAAGATTACAAGTTGCAGAAAAAAAATTATATTGCGTGTTACCATGTATAAATTGTCTGATACCATGTCTTACATCTTTAAGTACCTCTGTTTTGTGTACAAGCAAAACTACATGAGATACTAATGTTTTACTATATTTTTCTCTGGGTTAATCCAAATAAACTATAATTTATGTCATAATCTATTTTCATTTAAAGTATTATTTCCTTTAAGTATAATAATAAACTTTTAGCAAATATTTATACAAGTAAATGATCAAAGATAAGTTTACATAAAATTTACATTAAAAAAATTTAACAAACACAAAATCACAAAATCAAAAATAAACATCCAAATAAGTGATGTAAACATGTGCTATAAGCATCCATCCATCCATCCATGCATCTGTGATGGATGGATGTTTATATCAGTGTAAACATCTGATATAAACATCCATCCATCCGTGTATCTGTGTAAACATGTGATGTAAACATCCAAATAAGCATCCGTGTAAACATGAGATATAAGCATCCAAATAGGCATGTGAGTTTTAAAAAATGCCATATTTGGCATATTTGTATATAAAATGGCTATATTTATCATTTTTACTATAATGTAGCGTTTCAAATCCAACAACAAATATATATTGTACTATAATGAAAATATAACTGTAAAATAAAACTGTAAAATATAAAATAAAGCAAATTTATTTATTTTATATTTTTTAAGTAATCAGCTAGTTTTGATTCACTTTTTCTTTTTAAATCTTTTAGTTCTTTTGTGATTTGTTTAATCATTTATGAAACATGTTGATTCTGATGATGTTTCCTTAAAATTAAAATAATAATAAAAATGGAAATATTTTATTCTTATTAACCTTAAAATGCTACAATTTTTTTGTATATGATTTTATAGTTTTATATTGAGTTATTATTGATTTGTTTACAGGTATTTAGCTGCTGTCTTGAAAGATATGGAGAGTGAAGAACTATGGGATGTATTAAAAAAGTTTTCTGCTATTGACGTAACTAGTGACCTTATAAAAGAACTGATTATACATTATCAAAAAAATGGTAACCTTATAAATATAATAATATTTATTGTTGTTATAATTATTATTACCATTGTTTTTATTTTTATTGAAATTTTATACAAAATAACAAACACTAAATGTTTTAATACAATCTAATTTAATACAATATATAATACATTATTAAATATAATTAATTTAATACTATATATAATACATTATTAAATATAATTAATTTAATACAATATATAATACATTATTAAATATAATTAATTTAATACAATATATAATACATTATTAAATATAATTAATTTAATACTATATATAATACATTATATATAGTATATTAATAAATGTATTTACATTATAATTATGGACATTTGTGGAAGTTAATGCTTTTGTAAACTCTTTTACTCTGTTATATGGACAAAAGTTCAATAAATTTTAAGAGCTATACACAAAACACCAAGGACATTTTACATTTTGCATGTATTTTATATTTCATGAAGGTTTTTACTGTTTTTTGCTATTTTTTTTTTATTAAGTAGTGCTCTAATTATCATTTTTAAACTTTTCCAAGACACTCCGCTCTATAACACTTAACAAGACACTCTACTCTTCTATGACACTTCACAAGACACTTCGCTCTTCTATGATACTTTATAACTAATTTCAAATTTTAGAATATTATTACAGAAACAAAGGTTGTCATGTTATCACAGAAACAAATGTAGAAATTTTGTCTATTGCAGTTTTAATAATATTTAAAATATTTAAATATTATTTCAAAAATTTTGAAAAAAAGATTCGAAAAAAATAGTAACAGTTTTAAACTGTTAGTATTTAAAAAAAATATTTTTTTAATGTTTTAAATGTTTGATAACAAAAAAAAAAGCCTTTATTTTTAATGTGAAAAAAAAGTTGAATTTCTTTTACTTTAAGAATAAAAATTTAAAAATTGCATAAAATCAGAAAAGTGACTCTAATAAATTTGTTTCCTTAAAAAAATAACTGCGTCCAGCTACTGTTTTGTATGCTTTTTAGAAATAGAAATATTCTGAAATAAAGACACTGATAATAAGGTCTCTTAGGCAAAGATAATAAGGTATCCTAGACAAAGACTCTAGGGATAAGCAGAATAATCCTGTTGACTAGCCTTGCACCTCTTTTTCAACTAATACAAGTGCCATGTTGAGCATGGATGGTGTCCTTGTTAGTACTTTTGATGTGCATTTTCAAGGCCACATAAGGTGTCCTAAGATATTTCTGACCAAATTGATCGTGCCCTTTCTCTGTCCCTCTTCCAATATTGTTTTAATTGGTGCTTTTAATGCTCATCACACTAAGTGGCTTGGCGCTAACACCCTGCTAACTGACTAACTCATCATAAACTCTCTCATAAACTGACTCATCACTAACTCTCATAATTTTTTCTCTTACTCTGATAATCAACTTTTTGGCTCCTTTTCCCGACAAACCTAATTGCTTACTTTCACTCCATGATTTGTGCTTGTCTTTGACCCTAGCTTGTGTTTACTTTCTCCTTGTTCTCTTTTAGGTGGTTCTAACCATACAATGATCTCTATAAATCTTTAATCTCATACTTCTTCTTTGGAATTCTCACTTAGACTCACTCTGACTTCTTATTCTCACCCTATAATTGCACTACTTACTACTACCCTAAAGCTGACTGGGATTCTATTCGTGTTTTAGTTATTTCTTTTATATATTTTATATATTTCTTTTATATATTTTTGTCTCTATGGTGATAAATGCGCCTCATATGTAACCTTCTGGATCCTGGCTGGTATGGATTCTTTTATTCCTTTTTGTAGGTTTCAAGCCAAACCTCATTCTAGTCCATGATTTTCACCTTCTTGCGCAGCAGCTGTATCTGATCATAATCATTTCTTTTATCTATTTCACAAGAACAACTCTTTTGAGAACAATTATCTTTTTATTATTGCAAGAAATGTAAAAAGTTGCTGTCTGATGCTAAGCTCCATTATTACCCAGGGCTCAAATTAGGCATATCACGATGGCTTTTCACAACCTTTGTTCTTGATTATTTTTTTCTTAAAAAAAATATTTTGATTTTTTTTTTTTTTTTTTTGGTTGTTTATTTACCTTTTTTTTTAGTTTAGCATTTTTTTTGGCAATTCTTAATTCTTTTTTGTTTTAAAGTATGTCACGCTAAATATATATTCTGAATAGATGATCTTTTGCTCTTTCGTGGGAGATTTTAAACGTAAAACAATTTTTAATATAAATTACTTCAAGTCTCTACATGGAAGCCAATAATATTTAAAAGTTCGTCAAAGCGATAAGTTGAAAAGAGAAAGCATTAAAGCAAACTTTTTCTTCATTCTTTTTTTTTTTTAATAAAACATCATTAATTTAAATTATTATTTTATCAACAATTTTATATTATCAATTTTACTAGTTAAAGTATATTAAAATATAATTAAGTTTTACGGAATTAATTTTTTAATTTAATAACTCAAACAATTTCATTTATTTGCTTTGTTTTATTTAACGTGTTTTATGTTATTTAGTTTATAACTGTATAAACAGCAACAAAACAGCGTCACAAAGTTGTTTTACAATTGTTTTATACAAGTTATTTATTTTTTTAAAACAACTTTGCAGTTTGTTTTATTGTTGTTTTATAGCTTTTTACAATAACAATTAAACACTCTAAAAATAACTTGTATTTTATTGTCAGCATGATTTATAATAACAATTAAAAGTAACATGCGTTTTATCGTAGTTTTTTATGACTAATTAAAGTGGTTTAAATATTTTAATGTTTGCTTTTTACTCTTAGTTTTTTACTTTTACTTTTTTAAGTATCATGTTAAGTAAAAACAATTACAAAAGTATCTTAATAGTGTTAAATATGTTACTTGCTCATTACACTGTAACTGTAATTTAAACTTTAAATTATAAATGAAGCTGTAAATTATAACAGTAACTTATGCTATTTGAAATCCGCCAAACTAGAAAATTATAAGATAATATTTAAATATGAGAGATAATATGTTAAAAAATAACAGTTACATACAAAAGATACGATTTTATACTAACGCAACCCCCACCCCCATTATCACAAAGCAGTTCAAGCTATGATGGGGGTGGCGGGGTGTTTTGCAATAAGATTTTTTTGCGTTAATTCGAGCCCTGTTACCAGTATCTTATCTCAGAAGTTAGACTCTAGAACTTCAACAGTGTTATCAATAAATAAATTCAACTTACTTGTCATCAACAGGTAAGTTGAACATTCCATATCTAATCATGGATCTGATCTTATTAACTCTCCCCAGGAACAGGACAAACTATTTGCAAAGAAATTTTCCTCTAAATCAACTCTTGAATGTAATGGCTATACTCTTTCTTCCATTCCAGTTAAACAGGTCAACCCATTATTAGACATCCAAAACAAATATCATAAACTCCTCTAGAGCTTGTGGTCCAGACAATTATGGAGTAACTGTCATAGTCTTTCAAAAGTGTTCTCCAGAACTCTATTCAATTCTCTGTTAACTATTTAATAAATGCTTGACTGAATCTTATTTTCCTGTCTTCTGGAAAATGGTATTGTTGTTCAAAAAAAACTCATTGTTGTAAGGTTGCATCTCTTTCCTACAAATACTGGAAAAGTCCAATCATGGCCGCTGCTTAAAGGAGCTATCATCTTTAGTTCCATCAGCCAAAACTCATTCTCACTTCACACATTATTCAACAAAGTTGCTATCCTGACTCATACAATCTATAATTTTTTCTAATTAAGGCCGAATGGCAAAAAAATTGACTTTTGTCAATTGTTTACTTACTTCTCAACTCTTTGTTTTCTAGTAACGGCCAATTTGGTTGTTTGCAGCTTTGTTACGAGTGAATCAGTGTCAATTGGTGTTTGGAACACTATTGGACAGGTTATCTATGGGTTTCCCATAGAAAAACAGGATCCATTTGGCTATTTATTTTCATGCTAACTATTTATCAATAAAAATACCATGAGTTATTTTCAATTTTCCCTAATAGAATCTTTTGATTTTATGAAATCCCACAGTATTTTAGTTAGCATTAAAATACTATGGGATAGTGTTTTCATCGTAATTAAAATGAGCATTTTAGTTAACATTAAATGCTAATGAAATGATGAAATGAGATTTATCATGTAACATGATCATCAATAATACTAAAATATATCACAGTTAAATGTTACCAACCATAATGCATTTCCTTGCATATTGCTCTGATGCATTTCCATATAAAATATCTAAGATAATAACGTCATTCAGTTGTTTTTTGTTTCCTTACTAGTTCTTTTTTTAGCACAATTAATATTACTTTATGTATATATCATTTTGATATATTATTATATATTAGTTTTATCAATCTATTTCAGATCCTGGGAATCAGTTGTCAACATATTTTACATACTGAAACAGGATAAAAAACTGATAATACATGAATAAGTACTGCATTAACTGTTTCACAAACTGTTTCCTTCTTTTTTTTAATAACAGTAGCTCTTGTTCATTTAATCAGAACAAATAACCAATATGTATTATGTTATATTGATTTAAAAGAGCTTCAATTATATTTGTCTATATAAAAAATATAATATTTATGTATATATATTAAGGTGGTCCCTTAAATGGAAGTTGAGAAATTTAAAGTTTTGTCAACTTATCTTGTTTCTTTTATTAAGAAAACATTATGTAATTTTTTTAGCTTAATATTGTCATTCTAAGAGGTGCCACATGTGTGAAAATCCCATTTTCCTTAACATTATTTTTATAAGTATTTTATGATGTTTTGTTATGTCTGAATTTATATAATCAATTTAATTGACTTTTCAATAAAGAATAGTGAGTTGTAAATGTTATTTTAACATTATTTTAATGTTAACAAGAAAAACACAAGATTTAGATTTTAAAACAGAAGCCAAAATTAAGATTAATTAAAATAATGTCTGCAAAATTGTGTTTGACAGTTCATATCGTTTACAGTTTCCTGTGTACTGTCTTTTTCAGAGCATTTGGAAACTTTTGCTGATGTTCTTCTACTACCTGTAGCAAAAATAGCTATTCCTCTTCATTCTTTGTGAAAGTGTTATTAAAATTTTACATCAGTGCAGCTCCTCTCTCTGCACAATAATTCACCATTTTCAACGATTCGACCAAACATTGGGCACTCTTGTAATCCTTTTAAAGGCTCCAAACTTTTGGATCTTCTGTTAAAAACTCTGTTGCAATCCCATGAATTTCAAATAAGCGATGAGATGATAAAGTGACAAAGCTAGCTAAGGACTTTTCTTTAATTTTCATGAAATCTAACATGCTTTTCAGAAAAATAGGTATCTGGATCAAATAATGCAAGTGATACCATCAATTCACTGATGTATCACAATTGTTTGGAAAAGGCTGTTTCAGCTGCCTTAGAGATTGTCCTGTCTTTGCTTCTTGCTACATGATGGAGAAAATCCAGATCATTGGCTGGTGATGCAACAGCCAAAAGAGCTGTGAACCAGGAATACACATAAATAATGGCAGCAAATGCTGCTTGATATCATTCTGCTCTCATTTGGACAAAATTAATTTCAAATTGGACTTATTTTGATCAAATATATATCACACAACCCATTTCAACCCTTTCACGATGCTCCCAATTGCATGAAATGAATACTACTTTAAATATTCATTCTCCACTTTTGGAAATACATTATAATCTGTTATTGTCAGAATTTTGGCCATATCCTAATATTCCATAATTTCTTTAATAACTAATTTCGAGACTTCCTTTGTAGACTTTTTCTGTGCTTGTATAATATGTAAAAATATTTGGAGAACATCACCTTTTGAAGGAAGCTTCATTTCACAAAACTTTTTAATTGTAAAATATATTTCAGTTTCTCTGCAAGTCTTTATATATAACGAACTAGCAGCTGTGGCCATTCTTGTTTGCTAACTGTTTATTCTGTGTAAAAGAAACAGAAAATTTTGTTATGCAAATACTGCTAAAAACAGTTAATAAATTAAATATTTTCAAATTACTTGATAGCCTATTTGCTTTAGGATTACTATTATATTTGGTACAACAAATTTGATTGAGAATATTAACTGATATATATGGAAAACAAACAATTCAAAAACAAGTTAAAAAATTAAATAATAGAAATGTTGCACATACCTAGACATACTGGACTGTCAAAGAGGCTGCCAGAATAGTTTAAGTTTCAAGTATATTATCAAAATATTCTTATATCTAATAATCGAATAATAATAATATCACAATTTCATTAAAATAAATATTTTTAAGTAGTGTCAATTTATGCAATTATCCATTATTGAACCAAACTATTTTTCATTGTCAGCATACTGCAAACCTGTCATCAAGTGTGATATCATCCACTTAGAATTGTCCCAGCTTTGTAATTTTTTTTTACAATTTTTTTTTTCATTATATAGAATTATATTTTAGGGTAAAACATTGAAAAGGTTACAGCATTTGTTTTCCTGTCAAAAAAAACATAGCTGATAAATGTTCAACACTGATTTTAATATTATATTGCTCTGTACTATTGTGTATTGATTGACAATCAATACATAATACATCTTTGTTGGTGTATTGATTGAAGTATGTGTGGCCTCATAGCGCAACTCTTTTATATTTTGGTGATTATTATTATGTAAATATTACATTTTTATAAATATCTTTTTTTGATTAGATATAAATATGATTTTTTAGGTCTATAAACATTTTTTGCCCTAAAATAAGTTTGTCATAATCATAAAAAGTTCATCATAATCTAAAATATTTATAAGGAAATATCTCTTTTTTTAAATAAGTTATTGACGATATAAGCCTTGTATGCATCACCACTTTTTTTATTTTTCGTTATTCATAATGCAGATTAAGTTAAAGATATGTATAAAAAATAAATCATTATTCATTAAATCATAATATTTATTTAACTTTTAAATAAAAAAAATATAAAACTTTATAAATAAAAAAACTTCTTTTTTGTCACTCTTACTTCTTTTTTTAATGCGTTTCAAGTTTTTTTAGATTTATGTAACATTATCATTTTTGTGCCACTTTGCCCTGGTGTTTTATCATCAACTAAACCTCAATCAACAAGCTAAATTTGCACGTTTAAGGACCTTCTAGTTGTTACTTTTCTAATTGTTTTAGGCGATTGAACTATTGTATGGATACTTATTGCAAGCTCTGATAATCGAGGTTTCAAAGTACTAGATTTCACAATTTTTTGATGTTTGTGCAATTTAAAACTAGTAGAACTACTAGTAGAAACTAGTAGAAAATTAGTAGAACTACCAGCTACTTGTAAGATAATATTAGGGTTAAAAGGAAAAAGATTCCTGTAGATCTGAACCCTGATATGGTGTTTACTAGTTTAGTGGTTAGCAGTGATGCTTTGAGCCGTGATATCTTAGTTGGTTAGAGCGCTGCTAAAAGTTCAGAATTATTAATTGGGGTAGAAACAGGATTTTCAGGTCCAAATCCTGGTTCCACCTACTCAGCGTATGAGTAGTACCTTAGTGGGAAAGAAACTCATGTTGATTAGCTCTGCTATTATGATGTTTCTTTCTCGATTAGTATATAAAAAATCTAGTCAAGTAAATTAAAATTATCATTTATTAAATAATAGCGGAAACTGCAGTTTTCACAGGAAAGTTTCACAGTGGCAGGAATCCAGTAAGTTTTAAATAGTTTGAAAGCACTTTTGTCCAGAGAATGAAGACATGACATCAATGCGTAAATGGATGCTTAACTTTTCGGCTTCTTTAATTACAGCAATATTCAAATGGCTATATATAATATTAATTATATTTTTCCAATTTTTTATTTTCCGAACTAAAAATATTTTCAAATATCTCTGGAGCAAATATGAAAAGTTATTTCACAAATATTAAATAAAATTTTAATATGATGAACATTTTTTCATCTAGTTATTAAAATTCACTTAATGATAAGTGTTAATTTAGAATGTTTTGTTCAGTTTTTTATTAACTTGTTTTCTTATCTTTTAAGATTAAATATTTTTATCAATATTGTTTACATTTTGATTTTATAGAATTTATATATATACTGTTTCCAATGATAATTTCCTACAATATTTTAATAATAGCAGGTGTTATATTTTTAAGAAATGAGTTGAGTACCAACTATACCTGTTTTTTTTGGGTTTGACAACAATTAGATGAATGGATTTTTTAAAATTATAGATATTATTACAGAAAAAAGATTGTAGATTTTATTTAAAATTTTTATAGAAAAACATGAAGAAGTATTTAAGCTGGTCATTGAAAGGCTTGATCACAACTCTTGTCGCAACAGTTTATTTGATTGGGAAATGTTGCATTGGGTTGTGCTGCATAAAAAAGAAGTTGTTTGTAACTACATAAAGTAAGTTAAAATGTATTACAAAGAGCTATTGTTTCAAATATGGTCGTATTTTTGAAAATGAACTTCACAGTTTGTTTCTCAGTTAAGTATTCTGTAAATTTTTTTGTTTCAGAGTTATAATGTGGAGAAAGAGATTGTGAAAATAATGCATTTTAACACTACAATTTAGAAAAAGAGAGAGGAAGGGGGTTGGGAAAAAGGGCAATACATTATACAATTAATATGTAGTTTGTTTATAATAATAGTTTCTTTACTGATTAAACTATTTTGAATGATAGGTTATATATCTATAACTTCTCAATCCTATCACAGGTTATAGACGTATAATTTATCAGTCCTATCACAGGTTAAAGGTATTTATCCTATAGTCTAATCACTAGTTCTATCATGTTTTTTAGGCAACTTATCATGAATAGATTATAACTTATCATGGATTATATCTTATCATCATAAATAGTAAAACCTTCTAGCTCTAGTTAAGTTTAATTAATAAAAAAGTTCAAAAAAAGTAAACAAAATGATAAACAAGAAATTAAAATTTTTGTTGAACTATAAGACAAAAATATTTCTAAAACAAAATATGTTTAAAAAAAATTAATATTATTTTTTTAATTATGAAGTTCTTTTTGAAAGAACTGTAACAATTTGCATTGATAATAATGATTTGTGGATATTTTATAATCCATTATAAGATCTATTTATAAGATCCATTTTATATTATATAATGGATATTTTAAATTTAAAAAAAAATTATTACAATTATTATATATTTATTTTTACAGTTCTTATCCATGTTGGGTATCTTTCCATTTTTCATATCTGTGGAATAATAAAAACCAGGATATTTTAAAACCTGTTCTTCAGCTTAAAATGTTGATTGCAAACACGATACAAATTGGTAAAATATCTTTCTGTTTTAAAAATTTTATATATATATATTTTTTTAAATACAGATAGGTCTCTCTACTCAATCCAATTTTCTTTACATAGAAGTCATATGGTTACTATGCCAACATTTTTTACAGTAGCTGTATCAATACAGTAAAGTGTATGTTGGCAACTACTCAGAGCTGGGAGCAATTATTAATGAACAAGTTTTTTGTAATTTACAATTGAAGACCACATAAGTAAAACCACAGATGTCTACTTTTGGAAAATTTCAAGTTTTATACATTTTTATGACATTTTAGTACTAAGCTATTTTAATTTAAAAATTCATAACAAAAAAACTATGTTTTAAGGTTTTATGGTCATTTAAAAATAGGGCAACTTTAAAACAACAATTGTTGTCCAATGTTTACCGGGTAAAGAAAAACAGTTGTCCAAGTTATTTATATCTGAACCAATGATAATAAAAGCTTTTGCTTGCAAAAACTTTTGCGAGCGCATAAAAAAAGTGTTTGCCAAAATAAATAAAAGCATTTTGTTTTATAGAAATGTTTTTTTATTTTTTAATAATTTATCTAGTGTTTATTCAAAGCATTCTTTTTGCTAAGTAGTAGAAAAAATGAATTTTTTAAATGGTGCAGGTCAACTTAGAAAAGACCATCCTACCAGTGCTTTTTCGTGCGCTGGCATTAATTTCAAACGGAGAAGACTGATGATTAACTTAATTAAGTTCAAACAGAGAAGACTTAATTAATTGATTTATGCGGTAGTGGTGTAGTGGTAGAGCGCTCTCTTCATAAGCGAGATGTTCTGAGTTCGATTCCGACCACATCCCTGGTAGTACCACGCTCAACTTGTTTCTCCGCGCAGTGGCCTTGTTAGTCAAGATTCCTGTTTCAAAATTATAGAGTAGAGAAAGGGTTATAACCACAAATATCCTCCTCATCTGTAGTGGCCTTCTCGGCCTTTGGGGGGTGAATTACAAAAAAAATATATATATTTTTAAGGAAATTATGTCAGATAAAGTAAACAACATTACCTTCACAGAAAAAAAAAAATATATATATATATATATATATATATATATATATAAATATATATATATATATATAAATATATATATATATATATAAATATATATATATATATATATAAATATATATATATATATATATATATATATATATATATATATATATATATATATATATATATATATATATATATATATATATATATATAATTTGGATTATTAGAACTATGGTTGGATTATGAACTATGATGAAACAGATGGTGTGATGATGTATGTTCTATGCTGAATGATTTTAAATGATCAATTATCTTAAATGTAAAGGATATCAAATCGATTTGCAATTTATGTGCTAGGCAAAATATAAAATGAAAAGTTTTAGATTTTGTCATCTAGTTCATAATATTTAAAAACTTGACAGCATTACTGCTTCAATACCAATTAGAACTCTGTCACATTCTGAAACCTCTATAGAATGTTTCTGACAAAAAAACTAGAGGATCTCACCAAAAACCAAAACAATTCAAAATTATATATAAAAATACTTTTAAAATTTCTGAAATTTGCAGAGTTTCAAAGCCAAACTTCTTGATTGTTTGTTCATTTGAGACATGTTTACTTAAAGAATTTAAAATATTAAAGGCTAGTTAAAATTTATTTATACTTAAAATTGGAAATATTTAATTTTATGTGTATTACATCCCATATGTTTAGAACAAAGATCGAAGTGCCTAATAAACTGAAACAAGCATACATTGCTCTGTTGTCTCTTTTTTGCTAAAAATTTAAAGACTTGAATCTAAGCATTTTCTAAGTGTACAAAATAAGACATTATTTTATACTATTTTATCCTATTTTTGAAAAATTTATTTTATTTCTCTTTGAAATTAAAAAAACACATTTTCATTAACGGTGTGTTCACAATTGGTTTTTGTATGGTTTATACAAACTTGATATAAGGTGATGGAACACAGACATCATCATGGAGTCATCTATGGTAAATAGATTCGTTTGGGGAAGGTTACAATGCTATTTTGTATAAAGTTAAGGAAAAACTTTCATATACTTTTTTATTTGATTTTTTTTTTTATGAAAAGAAGGGCGGGGGGACGGCTTTAATATCCCATCACACACTTTTAGTAGGTTGCGGTTGTATATTACAATGTGTTACCGTCTACCTTTAAAAAATTAAGTGCTCTAAAAGGTTACAAACTAACGTAGTTTATGAGTTGAACTTCTAATGGAAAAAACACAGATGTTCAAAAGTCTTGTTTTCAAAAGAACACTGAATAAATAATTCTTGTAATTAGCACAAAAAACTGCATTTATTTATTGTGTTAGGACAAAAATGTCATAAAAATATACTTTTATTTAAATATATTATTTATAAACAGATATCTAATGTCACTAAATACTAAATTTCATTTTTCTTAAAATGAGAAAAATGGGACATCTGTGTTTTTACTCGTGTGGTCTACAATTAATTTACACAGAATTAACTTACAAGCATTTATAAGCACTAAACAAAATAAATAAATTATAATATATTTATAAACACAAAACAAAATCCATAGATTTTCAATTCGGTTTAGGTCAAGATGCTTGCTTGGTTTTCATGGCAAGTGAAAGCCTTGTTTATCAGGTTTTTAAGATTTCAAGAGCTATTACTCAAAAACTGTCTGCACATAGTAGGCTTTTATATTTAAAAAAAAGTTTTTATATTAATCAACTAAAAGGTCTGAAAAGTATTATTGCTGAGTAGGTGTATTAATTATTTTACTTAATAGTCTCCTTAATTGTTTGCTAGTTAATAAGATAACAAAAGTCATGTAATAATACTTCATTTTCTAACAGTTATCACTATTTTACTTTTAACTATTAATGTTCAAAGAAAAAAACTAGGGGAAAAAGTTTAAATGAAGAGCACAAGAGAATGAACTTTAGCAGATGGCACAAGAGATGCTAGCCCTTTAGAGCAGCATCCATTATAGCATTTATAGAAAAGAGAAAGGAAAGCAACATTAGCATTAATTAGTAACATTAACATATAAATTGTTTGTTATCATGAAATTTTATAGTATCTTGATACAGATTTTGAATGTGATGATTCAAGATTCATAGAAGAGGTGGTAGTCAGATGGAATAACAACCTAGAGTTTTTGTAGATACTTGATCAGGTAAATATCTAAGGGTTCTTGAAGAATTTTTAGATCTTTTACCTGTTTTTTAATCTTAACCGCATTTATAAACTGCTACATTAATTTTGCACAGAATTTACCTCTATCATTGTTTGTCCACTAAAATGACCTGTTTTATTGCAAGCTTTTGTTGTTATAGAAACAGTTAATAAAGCACTAGACAATACTTTGTTTCTATTCTGATAACAAACACCATCAAAAATCAAAACAACAGGTTTGACCTTCTTTGTAAATTTGTTAATGTAATGGACTGTTGTAATGGAGTGCATGAAGTTAATTTACTAGATATGACTCCACTATTTGCTTCATGCCACATAGTAAGTGACCAAGGCACCGGCTAAAAATGAGACTTTTTGCAAATCCGACTTTGGCAAAATTATTAGATTTAGCAGGGGTTAATAGCCGGTGCTAGAAATAAATTTATAATTCTTTATATATTATAATTTAATACTTACATTTACTATTTATTAAATTCTGGCATATATTTATGATAGTATTTAATAAATAGGGACAGATACAGTAAAAGGATGCAACTTGTTGAATAAGAAGCCAAGCAAGAATGAGTTTTGGTTTATTGTAATAGAGCTTGTTTGAGCATCAACCATGATTAGAGAAACAGCATAAAAGAGTAAGGCTAAAGCCTGATGATGTCATCACCATCATCAGCAAATGATGTTGATGGTGATGATAATGATGATGATGATGATGATGATGATGATGATGATGATGATGATGATGATGATGATGATGATGATGATGACAATAATGATAGTGATGTTAATGATGATGATGATGAGGATAATAGTAATAATGATAATGACAATTATGAGAACAATGATCATGATCATGATGATGGACGATGATCATGATCATCATCATCATGTTGATCATAATGATGTTTATAAACACATATATACAAAATCAAACATAAATTTTGAAGAAAAAAATGTACTTTATGATGTATAAATGTTTATGCAGCCCCGGCCACAAACCTGGCCCCAGCCCTGGCTGTATTTTATCAAACCTGGCCCTGGCCCGGCCATTTACAAATGCCACAGCTACTATTCAACTTCACTATCTTTTAACAAATACATAGTCAAGTTATGTAACTGCAGCTTCAACTTGTTGTAAATCAAAGAATCTACTACTTGAAGTCGCTTTTCATGTTCATTTTCATGACATGGTGTTTATTGCTTGCTAACAATTTTACAACATTTTTTGCTATCCTCAGTTTTTTGACAATATGATCATTGTGTGTCTGTGTTATCAACTTTAAAGAAAAAATAGAGTTCACAATGGTCCTTCTGAGGAAAGTAACTTTGTTTGTTTAGTTTATCTAACAGTTGAACATCCTATAAGACCTTGATGCCAACTGCACTTTGATCATTATCTTCTTCATATTAGCAGAGTACTCTGTGCATGCTGTTCTTGCTTGTGACTCCAGTCTAAAGTTTTGATATCAATGAATAACAATAGTGACTTTTTGGAAATAACTTTAGACAATCTTCCATAGCTTTGTTTCTGAATTATATTTGAGTTGACATTTTATTCCATGAAATATTTATATTACTATCGTTATCACTGTTCAGTTCTACTGGATGGTTTATTTAAGACCGGGTCCACCATTGAAACTGATCTCTAATTGGATAAGTGCCAAGAAATATTTCACACTAAACTATAGTTTTATTCCCATCATCAAAATAGTTGTGGTATTTTTTTATCACAAACTTTTTGTTTTATTCCATTCCAACTACCTAAAAGCCATAATTTGTAGTACAACCCCTTTGTGTCGTCTGATACTTGATGATAGTGATTTATTCTCACAGTAAGTTTTTGTATGATGAAAACATCCTGGCTGAATCACTTTATCCACTCTGAGATTTTTTTTTCCCTCAAAAATCCAATGTTTGATCTTCTTAGAACTCACTTGACTAATTGTTCATACATATAAATCTTATACATTAATTTTTCTTTTAAACTGGTTCATTATATTCAATTTAATTTTCTCTATAAAAGGAATCGTTGTGCAAAAGTCTTGTTTCACTGTTATTATCAATCTTATTTTTGCCATCATTACCTGACATCGTTACATAACATCAATTCAAAAATTGTGAAGAATTGTAAAGCATGAAAATTAAGGATATTCATTATTTTTATACACAAGCTGGCTAAACTTCTTCTCTATAGCTTTTCAGGCCACAATGTTGAGTGACCTTGACATTTCTTAACTTTGTTTTTTAATGAACGAACTCCTAACTTCCCCCTCTTTTGTTTCAAACCTCCCTTCCCCTCCCTTGTGTTAAGCACACAAGAGTATCTTATCAAAATTACCTTATCAAAATTATCTTATCAAAATTTATTTTAAGAGCATGTATTATTTTGAAGTATATGCTGAAGTGTATGGTATGGTATGGTGGTACAGTAAATAATATTATTTGTTTACTAGCCATAACATAGCTGTCAATTTTAGTCATCAAGTGTTAAAAACAGTCTAAAAAAGTAAAATCTGTACTATGTAGCTAGTTTATTGAAAACTGTTTTTGCATTAAAATGCCCAATATTCAATTGCTTTTGTCCACGCAGGAGTGAACAAAAAATATATATATCTTTTTAGTAAATTGGTGTAAGAGCATTTTTTAAATTTGTGAAATTCAATATTGTTGTATATATTGTTTCCTTATTTTTCTTGTAACCAAATAAAAACTAATTCTTCATTGCGCTTGTTTGAAAGTATGCTTCTAATTTAAAAAGTAAAATTTTTTTTATTACTTCATTTTATATCTCGGGGTCGTTGGTATACTAGTGATATTCTGAATTAATCTTAATTAGTGGTTAATCTGAATTTTTAACATTTAAGTTCTACTGTTCTACTGAAATATAACGTAATAACTATTAAGAACTCAGGTCACAAATTGTGTTGTGGGTGTGCACAAGTTATTCCCAAAAAATCCAATTTTTTTCGGTAAAAATACAAGATATGAATGTTTTAATTAAAAAAAAATTTTATTAAAGCATTTTTATTTAAAAAAAGAAAAAAAAGAAATAGAATTTCATAAAACAGTGAGATTAATTGAACACAAAATGGTTGCAGTATTACATTTTCTAATTTTATATTTGGTTAATTTCTCACGACCAATTATTTACATAATTGCTCCCAGTCATTTTTATAACTATTTTCTCCCAGTTCAATTTTTCAAAGTTTGGTTAACTGCTTTTAGTACTTATCTACTGTTTTTTTAATATTTGAATTATATAGTTTTATATTTGTTAATTTTTTATGTTTATATATATATATATATATATATATATATATATATATATATATATATATATATATATATATATATATATATATATATATATATATATAAAAATTTGCAGGTAACGATTGTTTATCTTTATATAATAATTCTCAGAGAAAGCCATCCTCTTCATTAAAAAAATTTGCAGATCCTTGCTTAGTTAATGTTTCATTGAAATCTTCTGAAGAAGAAATCTTCAATGATTTAGATATTTCCTCGCCGGAAATTATGGATTGGTCAGACAGTTCAGTAGAATGTCTCAACTATGATAAAATTAAGAAATACCGTAAAAAAGCTGTAAAACGTCAATATAACTATAAAAATATTAAAAGTTCAGTTTTAACTACAAACAATAGTTTGAGTGACTGTGAGTTATTTTACAAAAAATCTATCCACTGCGGTTTTATTGATAAAGAGCAAACGAATTTACTTTTAGGAGAAAAAGCTAACCATATTGAAAACCAAAAAAAAGCTAACCATATTGAAAACCAAAAAAAAGCTAACCATATTGAAAACCAAAAAAAAGCTAACCATATTGAAAACCAAAAAAAAGCTAACCATATTGAAAACCAAAAAAAAGCTAACCATATTGAAAACCAAAAAAAAGCTAACCATATTGAAAACCAAAAAAAAGCTAACCATATTGAAAACCAAAAAAAAGCTAACCATATTGAAAACCAAAAAAAAGCTAACCATATTGAAAACCAAAAAAAAGCTAACCATATTGAAAACCAAAAAAAAGCTAACCATATTGAAAACCAAAAAAAAGCTAACCATATTGAAAACCAAAAAAAAGCTAACCATATTGAAAACCAAAAAAAAGCTAACCATATTGAAAACCAAAAAAAAGGGAGAAAGCGGAAATTGCACTTGTTATACCAGCCGTCATCAAACGAAATAAACCAACAATCTATTAACACTTACCTATCAACTGAATTATATCATGAAAGCGGAAACCCGCAGCTTGGAAGCCCTCAAAAAAACTCTAATAAAAAGACTTTAACAAATATAAACATCATCTCTAAAAAAAAGAAATTTACATATGTTGACTATGTTAGACCGAATAAAAGAATTAAACTTGATTCTGACGGCCCTGTTACACTAAATTTGAAGATCTCGACGAGTAACGAAAATAACCAAAATTTAACGATACAAAAAAATACTTCATACAGACGGGAATCAATAAGTTCTCTTAGTGATTCTAGCGACTCAAGTTGGAATTCTGATCGAGAAATTAATCAAATTAAAATGTCTGTTATGAAAAATATCCAAAATGATACGAAAAAGTTTACCGCTAAGATTATTAAATCAAAAAAAAAATCTAGCTCGTCCGAATCTTCTTGGGATTCCGACAAAGAACTGCAGAAAATTAAAATCACTCGTAATAAAAATACTAAAAGAAGTATTAATGACTCAAAAAAATCGACCGATAAAACTATTGTAACGCCTTTACGTAGTTCATCTTGGGAAAATAAAGTTTCTAAAGAATTTTAAAACATATCTTCTTTGAATAAAAGTTCAACAATCAAAAAGAGAGATAAAGAAATACCTTAAGAATCTGCATCTTTTATATACTTATATATATCAGCTCCTTGAGCGTTTTAGATATTTCTTCTGTCTCTCAATTCAATATCAACTATTATCATATCAAAAATAAAGTAACGAGTTTTATAAAAAAAAAATCAACATGTACGTTCAGCAAGAGCTGTTTGAAATATAAGATAAAGTGGTTATATGAGTTGTGATATTTTACAAAATAAATATTTTATCATATATTAAAAGCTTGTAAATAATTTTTTTTTAATAAAATTCTTGTTTTGTGTCCTTTGAATTTTATATTAATTATTTAAACAGGTTTAAAACTCGTTCTATGTAAAACACTACTGTTTGGGGGGACTGAGTTTTTGACAAAAATTGATTTCTTTCTAAGAGAGAAAAGACATTTTGTTAAGTAAGACTAAAATTAAAATAATTTTTTTTTTTGTACTTAGTTTAATGTCAGAAGTTTGATGTCTGCTCTGGTCACATAAGCGACATCTTAGTGCCTGACATGATATAATCTGGTCATATATGCGGCATCATTAAGGCCTGCACTGGTCATTTTAGCATGTGGGAAATAAAAAGGTAAATTGTTGAATGTAGATAGCTCTTAAAAACATTGTTTCGAAGGTAACCACAATATTATTAGCTAGAAAAATTTGTCAATGCAGGTACCAATACAAGATTTGGGTGGTAAGATAGATAGTAGGTAGGGTGCTGGAATGATGGGTTATTATATCTGATGTTTGAAACATGATGATAAAAATACTCATCAAATAAATTTCGGCTGAGCGCTCACTTTGTACTGGTGTGATTTTTTTTTTTTTTTTTTTTTTTTTGTAAAAGTTACAATTCAATGACATATTTTAAAAGTGTTTGTAAAAGTTACAATTCAATAACATATTTTAAAGTTGTTTGTAAAAGTGACAATTCAATAACATATTTTATTTATTTGAATAAATACTGTGATCAAATGCTTAGCTTTTGACACTTCTCTTTTAACAATTACTTCGGTGTAGTGTTATAATAAGATTTTAGAAACGAATCCTTAATAACTGTTGTCTGCTTACTAAAAAAACATGAAATATGTCAAATGTCGACTAGCCAACTATTAAAAAAAAAAGAAACACGACTATAAGTTGGTAATAATTTTTCTTAGGGGTGGGATTGACACCTTACATCTCTCTTAAAGTATTCTCTGACCCAAGTTGAATCTAAAAACATTAAAAAAATTAAAATAAACACAAAAAAAGTAAAATTAGCAACCTTTTTTAATTATTACTATTGCGATTAATAAAAGTTATTATTTGCTATTATTATTCCTAAAATAATTAAAAACACTACTTTTTAAGCGGGAGACTGAATAAGTGCAAATTTCATAAGTGCGAAGAATTGCATAAGTGCGAATTGGCATAAGCGCAAACATTAACATAAGTGCGAAGCAGTTAGCATTAATGGGAACTGGCATATGTGTGAACTAGCATAAGTTCAAAGCAGTTACAAAAACTGGCATAAGTGCGAATTGGCATAAGTGCGCCGAATAAAATTGCAAATATTAGTGCAAATTGGTACTTTGCTCTTATGCCAATTCGCACTTACGCCAGTTCGTACTTATGCCAATCTTTGAAAATTTATTTAGAGCAGCCGTAGCACTTGCCTCAGAAGCGATATATCCCTGGTTCAACGCCACCTCTGGGCAAGTTTTTACAACAATAGTAAGGAAGGAGATAAGACAGTCATTGTCTTCTTCTTGCTCCGGCCAATTTTTATAAATGTAATATGTCTTTATTGTAAATATATAAAACAGCAAGTAAAAAAAAAAAACCAAATAAAACCCAAAAAAAAATGATTGAAGCCTGGGAACAAAAAAGCCCTAAAATTTTAGCTACACTTGCCCCAAACGTGTTCTACTATTCTCAAGCAAGTATATGTATGTATTTATAAAAAGTATATGTATGTATATATATATATATATATATATATATATATATATATATATATATATATATATATATATATATATATATATATTCATATATATACATATATGTAGTTTATAAAAAAAAATTTACCCAACTGTTTTTTAGTTAAAAAAATAAATAATAATCAATATCGAGTCTAGCCATAAACACACTTTAACTACAAAAAAAATAATTGTTATCACAAAGGGATTTAAAATGGGATTAAAGAGATTTGAATAAACAAATTCGGCTTTAAGATGTCTCATAGACATCTTATTAAAAAACGTATTTGTTTGCTGCGGTGACACTTAAATCTTGAGATTTTAAAGCAAGATTAAACTATAAATTTTAGTGTTCTATTGTTCCAAATTTCAAAATCATTGAACCTTTTGCAAAACCACCTTATTTTACATTAGTATAAACATATAAATGTTTGGAGTTTTTACCATTTTTGGAACTCTCAAATACTAAAAAAAGGGGGGCGCCGCCACTGTTTACAACTTATCTGAATAAGATAAAAACTAGGAATGCTATAAAGCGAAAAAAATCGACGTTACCCATTAAATATTTAATTCATTTTTTTTTTTATTTTTTAACAAAAATAGCTGCAAATTATACAAGTAAGTTTATTTCTTTATACCAAAAAGTGTAAACGATTAAAAAAACAAATATTTAACGAGTTTGCCGGATTTATCGTTTCCATCGCTACAATTCAAGATCATCATATTAAATTTTTTCTTCAACGTTTTTATTTGTATAAAATCAATTTTCTGAAATTGACCCATTAACGTAGAAACACAGCAGTTAACCGCCTGACTAAACCGTCTCGTGTCGTGTTGATTCTGTTTTTCTGTTTTTTTGAAAATGAGGTCTTATCAAAAATTTAGAAAAGTCTGATCATATTATATCTTACATTATAAAGTTAGTTGTATTAACTTTTGGCCTGTACGAAACGTTGTAGTTTTAATAAAATCTAATTAAAATTATTTCTAATTTAATTACCATCGATAACGCTTATCATAAAACGTGCACAATGATCAAATTATTGTCAAAACAATGAGCATCGTGATATTTTTTAGTTTCAATTTTTTTGAGAAATAAGAATTTTTTTTGGTCTTTTTGTATGGTGTTATATTAATGAATTCATACAATGTGGTTGAAAATTATTCTTCAGTATAATTTGATACGTTTTTTATGTCCAAAAACAAGAAAAAGATTTGTCTTTATTTTGTTTACATTCTTGTTATTATTATTTGCTTGCAATATGTTTGTTAGAAATCAGTTGTTCATAAAAGAGACACAACCTGCTTTTGTTGAAAAAAAAGTTTCTACTATGGAGTTTCTTGATAATTCTCTACTTATGAAATCAAAGAAAATAATGCCGGTAATGCATCAGTATCAAGAAGATTTAGTATCAGAGATTATTCCTTCAGTACTAATTTTCACTGCTGATCACAACAATAAAGACAAAGCTTTAACCAAAAAGTTGAAGTTTATCTTGAACTCTTTGAAGATAAGTTTTTATTTTGTCTTATGGAATCGTCCAGAAGATGATTTTCTTACTCTTCCTCGTTTGCAAGATAAATTTGGAAATGCTGCTTATCATACCTTTATATTTACTAATCACCTTTTATACGATGAGCTTGATTCATGGACCCGAAACATTATAAACGAGCATTGCAAACTATTTAAAGTTGGTATTATTATTTTAGTTGAGGCTATTAAAGCAAACAATAATGGAATAAGTGAATTTTACCAATTAAGGTCAATTCCAGTATCAATAAAATCAGGTGTAATGGACTTGTATGATTTTGAAATAGCTAAGAGTTCAGTTTATAAAATTGTAAAAACGGGAAATATTTTAAAAGGTTGGACTAATAGAAATCATAATTCAATACTTCTCACTGATGACCCTTCATTTGAGCCAATGGCTTTTTGGAAAATGTCAATTAATTCTCAGAGAGAATTTTCTGACAAGTTTCAAAATAGTTCTACCATACATAAAGTGGTTTCAATTCTCTTCGATAAAGGATATAATGATGGAATTTCAAAGGTTTTATTTGGAGCTTCATTTGACACCACATGGTTACACCAATTAGTTTTTGTTGATTCCTTGATGACCTTATCAAATGGTGTGCTTGGTTTTGGAATAGAAAGGTTTATACAAATTGATATTGATGATATCTTTGTTGGAACAACTGGGAAAAAATTGGTTAAAAGTGATATAGAGGTACTATATATATATATATATATATATATATATATATATATATATATATATATATATATATATATATATATATATATATATATATATATATATATATTATATATATATATATATATATATATATATATATATATATATATATATATATATGTATATGTATATATATATATATATATATATATATATATATATATATATATATACATACAACCCTCGGAATTAAGGTTGGCATTCGGCAATGCCGACTAACTGCCGACCTAAATGTGTTTGCGGTCGGCAAAAAAAATTCGGTTTTGCCAACCTTGTTTTGATGTTTTATGGTAAGACCTTTGCATTTGTCGACCTGATGCCAACCTCTAAAAGATTGAGGTCGGCAAAATATTGCCGACCTCAATTTTCTTAATTCCGAGGGTTATATATATATATATATATATATATATATATATATATATATATATATATATATATATATATATATATATATATATATATATATATATATATATATATATATATATATATATATATATATATATGAGCAAGAAGATATATTTAAAAATGCCAAAAAGTTAACTTATATTATTTATATGATAAACATGAAAGAAATATAACAAAATTAGAAAATTTAAAGGAAATATTATCTTTTCTTTTTTTTAAATTATTTGCTATATACACCAAAGAGTTATGCAGCACAAAATAATGCTCTCTAATGCTTTGTTTTGAATTAACCAAAAAATTAAAAACTGATTTTATTTTTTCAAACTTCACTGCAAAAAATACATAAAAGCATTTGAGGCTCAAATTGCCCAAAATTTAAAAAACTTTCTTGTAGTGGCTAGTGAATCTTACTTGAATAAAACTTCAATTGAACTTGTATAAAACTTAGTTGTTTCAAGCATTCATTAAAGCATTAATTATAATATTTCTGTATCTATGAATAGCAGCATACTGAAGAGTTTTTTATTTAACATCTTATTAGATATCTTTTACTAGTGACTAATAAGTGCCCTGGTTAAGAAAAAAAGTAGCAACATGATTGACCTGGAAGTGTTGTGCATAGGGTTGAAGATTTCCCAGAAATTTTCAACTTGGGAAATTTTCAAAAAAAGGCAAGTTATTTTATAACTAATGGTTAAAACTTTATGTCTTATTTAGCCATTTTGGACAATTTTATAGTAAAATATTGTGAAGTAGATTATAAAAATTTAGAAAACCCCCTCGGTGATTTCTAAATTTTAGGCTTTGAAAATTGTCTTTATGGGGGTAGAATTTTCCAGAAATTTTCATCCCTAGTTCTGCAGCTGTTTTTTAAAACACTTTAAGTTACTTATTAGGTATTTAAAGAAAAACGCAATTAAAAAAAAATTATTAGGAGAAACTCTTTGTAAAATATTTTTTGAAACTTATAATTTTTATAAATTTTTTTATAATTCTTGGAAATTATTTATTCAATAATGTTTTTCAAATTTGATTTTTTTTTACCTTTAGCGGTCTGTTACACCAAATAAATTAAAAGCAGTACTTTTTAAAGTTAAAATTGAGATATTTGCAACTGAATAGCGATAGTTTTTCAAATGGTTTTGTTCTTTATATTAACTATTTTATTGACTTTTTTAAAAAGTTACAGGTGCTGTAATAGAACTATTGCAATCTTTTATTTTTTCAACAAAAAATCATACTCATCAGCTTTGATTCAACTTTGATGAAAAATGAATCAGCGATTCCTATGTTCATCATTGAAAAGATCTATCTGTTAACCCTATAAATTTGTAAAATATATTGTACATTATATATAAGACTATTTCACTGAAGCAAAACTATTTCTTGGCTACTCTTGCCATTTACTTTTATGCATATTCCATTTTTATATATACTTTTCTTTTTTTTTAGGCACTTGTTGAGGCACAAATTTTTTTATCTTCTCACATTCCTGGTTTTTATTTCAATTTGGGATTTTCATCAAAGTTTTTCAACAACTCAAATATGACATCAGAACAAGAGGGGGATGAAATGCTTCTAAAATATTCTCATTATTTTCGTTGGTTTTGTCACACCCATGCACATCTAAAGCCACACGAATATTCAAAAATAAGATTGGTTCACGACTTTCAAATAAATAAGAAATTTGCTTTTGTATGATTTATTGTTTTATCTCTTATAAAACATTTGTGATATATTTTCAAACCAAAGTTTTAAAATATTTTGTTATTATAATAAAATTTGTAATAATGTGCCATCAGGGATAATACCAGAAGTAGTATTATGCTTGATAATAATACCAGAAGTAATATTTTTCCTAATAATACTAGTAATATTGTAAAGTTAACATTTGTAATTCTAAAAAAGTAATATTTTTTAGAATTACAAATGTTAACTTTACAATAAGAACGCCAATACTTTTAGAAGTATCTACTTTGTTCCATAAAAATGCTCCTCTAAATGAAATACAAAATTTAATAAAATTAGTTTTGAAATACAAAATATAATAAAATTTAATAAAATTAGTCTTATATCAATCTCTCATATTATGGGGATACTATCCTCTAAATAAAAAGTCTGATAAAATTAAAGTCAAAATAATTTTAATTTTAATTTTTAAATTTTGTTAAATTTTGTTAATTATGTTAAAAAATAAAATTATTCCTAAATCAAGTCTTTTGATAAAAATATTACTTAAACATTGCAATCACATTTTAAAATGACCATAAAATTCAATTATATTATTTTGTAAAAGTATAATAATATAGTATACACGGAATCTAAGTAATTTTATTAAAATAAATGTTTCTTTTATAGGATCATCATATAACAGTTGACCCATCTTACTCTGTAGCACCTCATCACTCTGGTGTTTATCCTGTGCATAGGCCTCTCTATCATGCTTGGAAAGAGGTTTGGGGCATTGAAGTTACATCAACTGAGAGTTATCCTACTCTATATCCTGCATGGAATCGCGCAGGTTTTATATATGATGGTATAATGGTATATTAACTATTTTAGATTATATAAAAGAATTGTTGAGTTCATGATGATGTTAATAATTCATGATGATGTTAATATTTGATCTTATATTTGTTATATCAGTTCTACAAGTTAGTTAAAAATGAAAATATACTTTAATATGAACACATTTTTTAAGTTTTTTATGCTTTCATATTTTGCTGTAATTGTTTCATATATCTTATGAACACTGTCTCAAATTGTTAAATGTTAAGGTTCTTCCTCGACAAACATGTGGTCTTTTTACAAAGACACTTAACAATGCTGATTATCCTAAAGGACCTAATTGGCTGTCAGAGAGTGCTCATGGTGGAGAATTATTTTGGAGTATAGTTTTTAATCCAGTAAGTTGTAATTTATGTTTTTTGTTATAAAAAAGGCAAAAATAAATTTTTTAAAACATTTTTAATAGAAAGTATGATAAAATTTATGTAATATTTAATATTTAACTTATGTAAATTAGTAATATAGTGTCATTTAAAATTACGCAAATAAAAAATTGACGCAATAAATTTACGCAAAAAAAAAATTTATATCGATATAAACAAAGTTATAAACAAAGGTTAAAAACAAACATAAACCAAGCTCTGTAAGTGTTAATGTCAGTAGATTGAGTCTGCATATCATATATATGTAAAGATTGTGTATAATATATATATATATATAATAAAATAAATCTTTTTAAAATTTTATAAGTAATTATAAATCTTTTTTACTTTAACTATTTTGTTTTGTATTTAAAAAAAAATGTCAAGAATAAAAAAACAAAAAAAAATTTTACATAGCAGTGGATTTGAACCTATGAAAAAGTTATAATGATAGCACTGAAAACAGTCCACTTAACCCCTAACCTGCTGAAGGTCATATTGAAAAATGAATCATTTTATAAACTTTTTATAATGATTGTAATTAATCAACATTTTTCAAGCTGTTAGTCTGAATAAGCAATTAGTCTGAATAAATTATATTGTGGTTTTTTTTTCAACAGCTTCACTTCCAACAAGGCTGCAAGCAACCACTATTAGAGTTGGAAGTTACTGGAAGAAAAAAGATGAAGTTTGTAGAGCAAGATATAGATTGACAGATGACTTAAAAGATAACAAATTATATGCATCAGGAAAGCAATGTAAAGGAAGTTAATTCCAAAAGCTGATGTTCAAGGAAAAAAACTAGACAAATTAGAGTTTTTTAAGCACTTAGGAACAGTCACAGAAAAAGGATGAGACTTGATTGAATGAGGAGTAGCATGAGAAAGAATTTTAGTAGATGACGCTAGCTCTTTAAAGCAGTGTCCATTATAGTATTTGTAGAAAAGAAAAAAAGAAGCAACATTACAACAATGTGATAATGGTTGGAGGTTGGCTGCAAGAGCAGGTCCAACTATGTTTAAAATGCGTTTTTGCACCTTGTCTAAAAGAGAAAGATCCACCCTAGATATGGCAACATTCCTTACAAGGACGGATTTGAGATTTATAGAGATAAAAAATAATAGATTGTTGGCTTCTTATCATGAGAAGAATAAGTAATAGCATTGTCAGCGAATTACATTAGACGTAAGAATATCTGGAAGATAGGTAATGTAAATTAAGAAGAGTATAGGGCCAAGGATTGAACCTTAAGGAACCCCTGAAGTTACAGGATATGAAGAAGAGTGCTGTTCATTAAGGACAATTTTTATGCTACAATTGGAAAGGAAGGATTCCATAATCTTAAAGATGTTACCAGATACACTGTAAGAAGAAAGCTTATGGAGAAGACCAGCATGCCAAACTTTATTAAAAGCTTTAGAAATGTCAAGAGCAATGGCCTTAACCTCTCCACCTTTATCTAATGCACAATAAAACCTATCGGTTATTGTTAGCAAATCAGCCGTAGAACGAGAAGATCGAAATCCATATTGATGATCAGAAAGTAAGTTATTAGATTCAAGATGAAAGATTAAGTGTTTGTTAATTAAAGATTCAAAAATCTTGCTTATGATAGAAAGAAGACTAATGGGACGGTAGTTAGATAAGTCAGATCACTCTCCAGAATTTTTAAAAATAGGGATAACAAGACTCTGATAAGCAATTGTTGAATAGTTTTGAAAGTATAGATGACAGCTCTAGAGAACACTTCTGCTAGACTATAACAGGTATATTGTCCGGGCCACAAGAAGAATCTAAGCAGAAAATCACTTTAGATACAGAAGCTAGAGTGATACAAATGTCAAGCAATAAACCAATCTGTTTGTCGACAATATCAGGTAGAATGCAATTAGTGGAATTGAGAGATGAGATTAATGAAAAGTTCTTAGCAAACAATTCAGCTTTGTCTTTAGGTGAGGTGGCAAAGTCTAAATCATATAAAAGAGGTGGAATAACAGATTTGCCCTTATTATTGATACTATTAAATAATCTCCAGAAATCACAAGATCCTAATTTTTGTGATGAAATACGAGATTTCATGACCTGAGAATAGCGAGTTTGGGTTAGACAAAACCTTTTTACAATGGTTTCTAGTAGCAATTAACAAATGTCTGTTTTCTGGAGAATTGCTTCGCTTAATGATATGGAAGTAACAGTTTCAATTGGAAATTGCAGCAGCACAATGTGAGGAAAACCATTGAGAAGAGTAAGGCTTGACCTGGAATTGTTGAGAGGGAATAAAGGATTCCATGCCAGCCTGAATCCACCAAGTTATGTAAGAATTACATTTGTCAACAGGAAGACGAAAGATTTCTACCCAAGGGCCATCACAAAAAAAATCTCAGAAAGAGTCCCAGTCAGCTTTAAGGTAGTTGTAAGATGTATGATGATAGGGGGATTAAGAGAGAGGGCTTTGTCAATATGATCAGAAATAACATCAAGAAGAGTGTAGTCTTGAGATGTAGGAGAGCGAAATAGAACAAAGAAAAAGGCGACAAAGTGAAGTGGTGCTAAACGAAAGCACATAAAAGAGAAGTCTGTGGATTCAAACCTAGTTTCCCAACAAATGAGTGAATTCTTACGAATGTAAATGCCCAGGCCAAGCATGTGACTTTTGGAGTCTTTACAAATTAAAGGAAGATAACCATCAAAACTAAGATCACAAGATGAGACAGCTGAACTCAAATTAGTCTCACAAAGAGCAAGTAGGTCTGGTGAACTTTGCAAGCGATAAGACTCAACAGAAGAAAAGTTACTTCAAAGACCACAAATATTAGTGAGTGATAGGTTTAGAGAACTTGGTGATGACAATGGTTTTTTGTGTTTTATAGTTTTGGTACTTTATTCATTTTTAAATTTTTAAAGAACTTGACTTGAAGCATAGATAGTACTCAGTACACTGTTTAATAGCCCAAGGAATTCCCTCATTACTATTAATAAACCCTAAGCTGTAACAAAGTGCTCCAATGTGGCCTTGGCAATACACACCAAAAGTACAAACAGGGACACCATCCATGTGCAACATGGCACTGTTAATACTTTGATATTTTTCAGCTGTTGATGGAATCAGCCCCTCTGAGAGTTACCACAGAGTTCGGGAAACCTGACTACCAGTTGGCCTCAGAACCATAAAACTGAGTTTTAGAGCTGTATACTTATTTGGAGATAATAGAATGAGTTGCCTAGTCATAAAAACAGAGACACAAGCAAAACACATCCATCAAGCAAAAAGATCTAGCATTCAACATCCTAAACTGGGAACAATATAATAAAAATACATCTGCACCAGCCTAATAGATGAAGAAGGGTTGCGAGGCTGGTCAACAGATAAAATCTGTTTACCCCTTAAGTCTTTGCCTAGGAGGACTTCTACAAGACAGTAGGCGGATGCGTTTAACATCTGCTGAAGATGAGTATTTTTATTGAGACACCATCTCTAGCCTTGAGTAAAGTGCATAAGCAAAGAAAAGTCCATAAATTATGCATTTTAATTATTAAACAATATAAAAGAGATCACAAGTTTTCGTCACAGTCTTTAATAAAATCAAAAATAAAATAAGCTTTTTATGTTAAATAAAAATCGCTGTGCAAAAAAGAAAATGATTCTACTTATTTAAATAATTTTAGCGTTGTGTAATTTATAGATGTTCTCTAACTCAAAGAAAAAATGATCCACCTTTGAAGATTATAAAAAGTTCAAAAGAACTATTGCTTGGTTAAAATTTTTTACAAATAAACTTAGAACAAAAACTTCAGAGACAGTTCAGACAGGGTTTTTGCTCTGGGTTAGAAAAGTTTCAATTTCCAAATAAGTGGATTTTGTGACTTTTTATAAGAGAAAGACATGCTGCTTAGCTTCAATTTCAAAAAAATCAAAAAAATAATAAATTTTTACTTTTAAAAAAAGTAGTATTCAATTTCAAAAAAATGACGTTTATTTAAAAAAACATAACTTTTTATTTCTTAATTTTTAAGTTTTGTGTGCGTGTAGTTTTTTGTTTTTTCTTTTTTAACCCACAATGCAATACAGTTTTTGCACAAAGTTTTGCAAAAATCATATTTGAATTTTGAAACTATTGTGTGAAGTTTTGCTTCAATGCAGAGATTTCAATGCAGAACTACTACAAATAATATCTGAATAAAATTAAACATTTGAAAAATTACTTTAATATAGTTCTTCATTGCCCTGTAGGACAATGGTTTTGTGATTTATTTTATACAGTCTGTGTCACATATCTCAAATAATAATAAAGTAAAAAATAAATTCCGGCATTACAGTCTGAAATATTATAATTCCGGCCAGAATCGGAATGACCTAAAAGTCACAAATTCCGGCTGAAATTCTGGTACATCCCTATTTTTTAAGAAACTTTATTTAAATTGTAAGAATAAAAAAATAACTTTTTCTACATTCTCTTTTGAAGAAAATGAAATATAAAAATATGCAAACTTTTTACACTTGTAACTTATAACAAGGCATGAGTGTATAAAATTTATCATATACAAAATAAATTATATGCAAATAAATTTTTTCAAAAATTGATGTATAGTTAAAAGAGAGAAAAAAAAATGAATATGAAAAAATAAAGTTCTAATAAAAAAGAGAATAAATAGATAAACAAAAAACATTAATTACAGTAAAAAAAAAGTTTATAAAAAAATTTATTTGAAAAGAGTCGTCACTTGTGCAGCACTTTTTATGTAAAAAAAGTTTGCATTTTTAATTTTTGCTCTGGTGCTTTGTTGAAGCTTTGCATAAAACCTTATGACATTTTTTACGCTTGACTTGGTCTACTGCTGTTGTTGTTTGCCGGTGTCATCATTGTTGTTTGATTTATTTGATGCTCATCATCATTACTCCCCCTTTCAGTCTACATTTTTTGGTTTTTTTTTTTTACTTAACATGTTAAATTTGTTATATTTATTGCATAGCTGCTGCAAGCATTTGGGTTTATTGCAATTTTTTTTTCAACTTATTTTTGAATTTCCTTTTAAACAGCCAGAGGTACTACAAAGTTAAAGACTAAAGGCAAGTTGACTTTAATTCTTGTTAGTGTAGATTTAAAAGACAGTGGCAACTGATCAGCTTCAACTTAATTAACAAAAGCCCAATTTACCAAGTTAACGATTAGCCTATTTCATTCTACTTCTTAGTTTATTTTTTGTTTGTTTTTAGCTTACAACTTTATGCCAGAAATATCAAATTTTATTTTGAAAAAAAACTGTTGACTAGCATAAAAGTTTTTATAAGAATGTTTTAAGTTCACTAAAATTTCACTTCTAAGAGTTTTATGCCCATTTTTCAAAAATAAAAAAAAATATTACACTGGCCTAAGTACTAAGTTAAAGACTAAACTGGCCTAAGTAATAAGTTAAACAATTTATCAAAATAGTAAAAGTTATTTTTTATTAATATTTTATTTCATTTTATTTAGAAAAGATTCTTAACAACGTAAATAAAAAATATTAGCAAATATTTATTCAGTAATAAATTAAAAACAAAGGAATAAACATTGTCGTAACTATTTCATTGTATGTTCTGTTTCATTCTACACTGTTATATTATGTTTCTATTCTAACAAAACATATCTACAGGTTATTTCTACCCTGTAGATATGTTTTGTTTACTTTGTAGTTTTGAAGTTTTTTTTAGCAGGAACATCGTCGATCAAAAATATAATTTTTAATTTTTATATTTTAAAGTTAAAAAGTTTTTATTTAAATTTTAGATTGCAATTTTTATGACACATGCATGTAATTATGGTTTCAAAGAGAGACTTGCTATTCATTTGTTTAAAAATGTCACAAGTTTTATTGAAAAGTGGACAAACATCAAGTTATTAAGTGACAAACCAGTTGAGTTGGGTAAACGTTATTTTGGTTTGTTTCCACGACATGCTGAACCTCTATGGACTGTAAGTTCTTTAGCTTAAAAGATAAAAGCTTTTATACATCCATAACTTATACACATTTTATATTCATATTACTTACATAAATTAACATAATTATCAAAACTGGGATATAAATATTTTTTTTTTTTATAGAAGATTTCTTTAAAGAACCAAATGATGAGTATTAAAATTTAAACATTTATTTTGGGCTGGTGCAAAATCTTTTTTGTTAAAAAGAAGCTGCCATATATACATACACATATATAACTTATATTAAAAACGTAATATAAGTTATATATGTGTATGTATATTGTGTTTATGAGTCATTCTATGCCAAATGGTCCCAAATTTTAGGATTTTAGCATGGAGCATCTTTGGAGAGACTTTGTGGGTTGGTTCAAGGCAATTCCATATGAAAAAATCTAGGGCATGCAACCCTTAGTCTCAGATTTTGCTGATTTTTTACACCACTCAAAGATTCTAATAAGTTATGAATATCCCCAAAATTTTATCATCTGATTCTAAGCGCTTTCAAAGATATATTCAAAGATATTTATTCATGAATTAACAATAATCGTCTCTTTTAAAAAATGGTTATGGCCTTTGTTTCTGTTTTTTGTGCAATAATACATAGCTGAAAATATGTACACTTACATATTTTCAGCTATGTATTTTTTTTATTTTCAGCTATGTATTATATACATATTTTGAGGCAATAAATCGATTCCTTGTTTTAATGTTTTAATCCATTAAAACAATTTAAAATGTTTTAAAATAAACATAACACCCTAGTAAAATTATGATAAAGGTCAAAGTTACACTTTGACCTTTATCATAATTTTACTAGGGCTTTACATATTTTACTAAGTTTAAATTACAAAAATGCTGATGTTGCTATATTTTTTTTGTTTTTTTATTTTTTTATTTTAGATGTCATTATGAATAGTTTAGTCAGAGGTGGTCTTTTCTTAAACAGAAAAAAAACATTGTCAAATTTACTTAAATTTGTTACTTATAAAATGGGAATTATAAACAAAGGTTGTATTTTAGGTGTTTAGGTTATAGGTGCTTAATACACAGAAGTTGATGTTTATTAATTTACAGAAAATTTTTCCACCACCCTGAGCTTATTAAGACCCTCTGTTTATTAAATTTTACTTGTTATGAACAAAGAAACTGTATCCTAAAACTTGAAAAAAAAATTAGTTATTATTTAAATTAGAAAACATAGACACTTACAGAAATAAAAGTAAAAATTTCTACCCTCCTGTTTATTAATACCCCTTCTCCCCCCCCCCCCCCCCTTACCTTTACTTTCTTTTTTATCTCCATTTATTATATCTGGAAAAAAACTTAATTTTTCTATTGATTGAAGGAGTTTAACTAGTTTATTAAGCTAAATTTTCAGTACAGGTGACTAGTATATTGTATAATCATTTCCCCTCCTTTATTTACATCTTCCTCTAAGACTCTAAACACTATTGAAAAAGATTAAAAATTAAAAACATCACCTCCTGAATTAGCAGTAATTCACTTACAACTATTATAATTTTGTTTACAATTGAGAAATATTTCAAACTAGAATACACTTAATACATTTGTCATTATTGCAGTTGCCTATAGTTGTCACTATTGTAGTTATTGTAGTATTGTAGTTTGCCTATAGTTGTCACTATTGTATAATTGACCACGGAAATAATGTTTAGTTGCGAAAAACCGGCCAGATTTTTTAGTTGTTTTAAGAACATTTCAAAAACAAACAAAAAAGCGCAATAAGATTAACTAGACCGATGAGAGACAGTTAAAAAAAGAAAAATAGCTTTTAACGCGAAAAAACTTTAAGCAAAATAAATACAATTATAGCAAATATTTTTGAAACGTCGTTCTTTTATAATTTTTTTTTAAAAATTAAGTGACATTTTTTATATATTTTATATAAAGTAACAATTTACTATTAATGATTGTTTAATAAGGAAACAAGTGTTCTTCGATTTATCAAAGAGTATATATAATTTTTATTTATATACTTATGTCTTATTTCAATTGCTGGATTGAGGAGGTAGGGTGGGTGGGCAAAAAGGCTATAGCCCCAGGACTTACAATTTTAGGGGCCGCGAAATAGTCAAGATAACCTTTCGGTACTTTTTTTAGTCATTTTTACGCTGTGGCACAGAAAAGTCTAACAAGATTCAACCAATAAAACTAACGCTAGATGATTTATTTATTATTAAAAAAGTTTTTTCAATAACTGTTTTATGCTTCGCGTAGTTTGAAAAGTTTAACACATTTGAAACAATTCTTCTTAGTAAGATGAACAAATGAAATGATTAAATTATTGAGTTACTCTAAAAATTTAATTAACTAGATAGAAATTAACTAAAAATGTTAAATTACTTTGTTAGAAGTAAGCGGATATCACAATACACAATACAATTCACAATACTGCTGATGATGTTTAGTAAGTGGGCTTTATAGTTTTATTTAGTATTTAAAACAGAAAAAAGTAACTTTAAGTTTAAGTATAACGAGTTTGTAAGAATGGCTGAAGCAAAAATAATTGAAGTTAGTAAACCAATTTCTAAGAACTTAAAAACTTTTTTTTCTTGGGGGAAATAATCAGTTATCTAGTACACTGAGAAAAATGGATTAGTGGTTAAAATTATTTGTATTAACTTAAATGATTATTAATAATTTCATTGAAAATGCAGTTATTATTGAAAGAATTTTTGTTTACAAAATCAATCGCACAAATTGCTTTAAAAGATTACATTTAAATAAAATACACATACATAAAATTACATTCATAAAAAATACATTTACATACATGAAAATACATTACATATATAAAAAATACATCCCTTATATATAAAAAATAAGAATATACTAATAAAATCTATAATATATTTACAATATGTTGATAAGTTAAAAAATATAAATTTAAAGCATTTATATTTGTAAACAAATAATGTTAGTTTAAAATATTTATAGCTTTGTAGGTGTGGCTTTGAGAATGAGCCATAATATTATTCTTTTTTATTTTTCCGCACAAATATGTTTGAGAACATTCGAGTTTATGTATGTTTCCATGTATGTCCATAAAACAAAATATTTTAAAATTTACTATAAAATAATGAACTTAATTATTATTTTGCAAACAAACAAGGAAACATACATAAACTTAAATGTTCTCAAAATGACTAAAAAATCTGTTTCATATGTTTAGATATCTCAGTATTTGAAATGAATAAATGTAAATTAATAGGAGGTTTAAGATAAAGAAAAAACATTATTTTTGTGTAATCATAAATTATGTGGTGGTAATAAACTTCTCAGAATCGCGTTTATTATTACCGGCATTTCGAAGAGGCTCAACACCAATACCTAATTTATCCCGTCAGATAAACATTATTGCTATTTATGCTTTACCCAGCAATTTACGCCTACTCCATACTGCAGTAAAAAAGGACTTCACTACAAAACAGCCAAAACCCTAACCTCACCCAAATTTGTAAAGCACTAATATTTTTGAAGAAATAATATGGATAGTGAGAGTAGTGAATTCAATATCAAATAATATAACAAATTTAAAATAAAATATATATAAGATGATAAGATAAATATACAAAATAAAAAATAAATAAAGTTTTTAAACAAAAATAACAAAAATTAAATAAACTAAAATGTAAATATAAAATAATAAAATTTATTGTTATAGAAAACCACAAAATACTTAACTACACTACCAATGTGATAAATGTTGTTAGATAAAAATTCATTAAAATATACAACAAGTTGCTAAAATTGATACTTTTTGGATAAATAAACTCAAGCCGATAAAATATAGAAATATAAACAAACTGTCTAAACTGTTTCAATCAATAAAACATTACCATTGACTTGGAACAAATATCGGTATCAAAATTTGAGTCTTCAGAAGCTGCGAAAAGTGGATAAATAAAAAAAAAAATGGATAATAAATTCTTTAAAAAAATATAAAACCATAAAAAACTAAGCATAAAAAAATATAAACATTGCTATAAACATAGTTTTGCATTATATATGTACATAAACTGGTAGCACTGGTCTATTTAAGCAGTCATTGTCTATTTAAGCCATGGACTGGATTGAAATAAGTTTGCATAAAATTTTTTGGTTTTAACCTCCATCAACATTGGCATAATTAAAAAATGTACCACCAAAACAGGAAAAGCAAGTTAACAATAACTAAAGGAATAATTTAAAATGGTCAAAGCTTTTTCAGTTACATTACTGTCAAGTTACTCTCAGGTGCTTAACACATGGTAGAGTGGGAATAAAAAGATAGGTGGCAATTTTTATCTAGATTTATAAATGGGGGGAGATGAGAAAAGAAAAGGGGAAGGCAGTCTTAATAAGCTCAAGGTGGGTGGGAAAGTTTTACAAAAATTAATAAACATCGATTTCTGTGTATCTTTTCTGTGTATCACTTCTCACTTTTTTTTTCATAATTCCTGTTTATAAGTAACAAATTCAAGTAAATTTGACAATGTTTTGTTTCTGTTTAAGAAAAGACCACTCTCTAACTCTTTGTAACAATTCTAACTAAACTATTCAGGGTGGCATCTAGTGGCAAGCGAATGGCAAAGTTTAAATAGTTATCTTTGAAACCATTTGTTGAAATTTTGGGAGTTTTCATAAATTATTAAAATCTATAAGTAGTGTGAAAATCAGCAAAATCTAAGACTTAGGGTTGCATTTTATAAAAAAAATCGTATGTTTACACATGTAGTTGCGCTTGAATGAGATTAGCAATTCGTGAAAATTTCAGCATAAAGTCTTTTGTTGCTCATTAGATATGGTCATTTGAAATTTCCTAATCAAAAAATAATAACTTAAGTAAAAACATGTTTTTTGAAGCTCTTTAAAACTCTAGACTTACTTCAGTAAAATTTTGACATTTTTAAACGTCACATTTTATCCTAATGGCTACCTAAAAAGCCTTAAAAATTGTTTGCAAATATAAAAAGTTGATTTTTGATGGTTCAATATACAAAATTGGCAATTTAAGAAGTAAAAAGACATTTTTTCTGTAATTGGTAGGCATCTTTAGAAATTTACTGATATGATACAATTCAATTCCTCCCAAATTATTTGACTTTTATTGTGTTTAAATTCAGATGATCACTTCTAGGTGATCATCTAAATGTTTGATCACTTATACCATCTATCTCTAGTTATAAGAATTATTTGAATTGTCAACGCAATCCGCAGGTTGGTTATGTAATAAAAAATATGTAATAAACATTTAATTTGAAGACAAATCTTTTAAAACTTTTAGTTTTAGATACTAAAAGTACTAGTACTAGGACTAAATATATTTTTAAAAAATTAAATTTTTAAAACAAATAAATCAAATTTAAAATAATTTTATGTTGTTATTTAATTATGTTATTTATGCTATTGTACAAATGTAATTTTTCATTTTTTTCTTGAGCTGATAGTTCATAGCATCTGATTGTTTATAGCATTTGCCAGTTGCTAATTGAACTTTTAAAGATGAAATTTTGCATAAAATGTGCATTATTGGAACCCAGCAAATATCTCCTTTATGTAGCCAAGTAAAATTGTTTAAGGGAAAAGTGAACTTTCAAGAAAATCTAGATTTTCTTCAGATATTTCCACACTGTTGCCTAAAAACCATTTGTATCATAAATGCATACTATATTAGTTCCTGGTGAAAGAGAAGCAAGTGGAACCGTAAACTGAATTGTAGAAATATTTTAGTTTATTTACATTAGTAAGCAATGTTATCAAATGACATCTCATCTGTAAAGTAGTTAGTTCATGATGACATAAGTTAGATGATTGATAAGTTGAAGTTACATGATTAGATAAGTTAAATGTTTTCATAATTTTCATATAATTTACCTGCAGCATCACTAAAATAAATGCATTGGTTAAAATAAAGCATCAACTCTTTTAAATGGTTTGTTACTTCATAAATGAAACAATTAACTGAGTTTGTATTGTGTTGCAATTGATCTGAGAAAAGAGATTGATCTTGTTTTTTTGGTGGCTTTTTGGCGGTGATTAAAGGTGATATCTTTCATGCTGTGTTTATTAAACAAAGTAGTAGGATACTCTTTAAATGTGTTGGTATTTGGGCAGTTATCACAACTGTGCAGCACGCAGTCTTAATTTGTTAAGTCCCATAAAACTAATGTTAAGAGGTCTATATTGTCTGAAAAATCTGGAACTTTTAATTTTAAAAGTTTTGCATTCTGGTGGTACTCACTAACACATACTGAGTGGAGATCTGAAGTACCTCCAATAAGAATATACCACATTGGTCTAAGTTCACAAAACTAAGAAAACCTTATCTTGTGATCAAAGGAAGTTTTAATGAACTCTAAATAAAGTTATTATATATAAATTAATAAAGTCTTTTTTGAAAGTGTTGTCTTTTACCACCAACTTAGATCGAGATCGAGGTACTGTTTTATACCCGGGCACATTCCAGGGAATTCATCTGATCAGTAAAATTAATGAACTTGATTGTTTACTCTTTCACTAATAGATCTTCCTTCATTTTTTAATGGTTCTGATATTATATCGTGCATTTGTTTTAAATACCTTGCAGCTTTTATCATTCTTAGGGATGCAGATTAGTTATACTAAAGTTTTGCCTAGAATCACAAGCTTTACACAAGTTTTTAATTAATGTTCCAACTCTCAGGAACCAAAGTCAAAATTTTAAGTTTTTCTGATTTTGAAGAAATATCAAGCTTTTCTTTAATTTAGTCCATTTGTGAGTCCAAGTCTTATTTACTTTTGCAACATAGCTCTTTTGATTTTGGCTCATCCTTAATTAAATCTATAGAAACTCACAAAACAGTTTCTATTTTATTTTGGGTGCAATATAGGTTTTATTCGTCTTTTTGCATAGCTGACCCTGTCTTTATGAACTACTAGTTTTAGAGGTGAACAACCAAGACTATTAATGCTTAAAGTTTTCTTTTAAAATGCGGCTCTCATTAAAATCATTATCTTTATGTTTACATAAATCACTTCCATACTCTCAATAATTAAATAAAATATTTCTATATATTTTTATTTTATTTTTTTATTTGAAAATAAAATACGACTATATTTCAAATGTTTGCAAATTGATGAATATGGAATGTATTTTTATTATCTATAGGATCCTTGTGTTGATTTGCGTCATCAAAAGATATGGGCAGGCACTGAAAAGTATTGCAAAGGAGAAGGATCACGCATATCTAGATTACCAGATTTTTTGATAATTGGTCCACAAAAAACTGGTACAACAGCTCTATATAAGTTTCTCAGTTTACAAGAAGATGTGCTGAAACACAATCGATTAAGTAACAACTCATTTGAAGAAATACAATTTTTTAATCGGAACAATTATGCCGAGGGACTGGATTGGTTAGGTTTTTTATCTTGTTTTTGATTAACATGGATTTTATTTTACTTTTTCTTTTAATTTTTGCATTTATTACTGAATCAAGGTTTATTTATTGCTCTTGTTTCAAATAGTTTTAAGTTGAACAAGATTAACACAAACTGTAATTTTATTTGGCATATTTATAGTAAATCATTTTTATTGGGAGGCATGAACAAATATCTGTTACTTTGATTTGTAATTATCAGAAAAATTAGTTAAAACAAATAATAGTCAATGTTGATCATCACTAATCTAATCAAAGCTTGTTCAATCAACAGTTGAGCTATCAAATCCTAAATGTAAAATACAGAAATAAACCTTGAAATAGATATTACTGAAACAAATAACTTTAGAAAAGTGTCTAGAGGATTTTTCAAGTGTTAAATTTTAAAAAATTTTCAAAATTTAACTTTTTTCTATTTTGATGAAATTTTTTTTTTTATAAAAATTATTTTTTCAAGAAATTTTTTTTTAAATTCTAATTTTTAAATTCAGAATTTTAAATTCTGTTATATATAGGTAGTAAAGAAATTAAAACAAAATAAAAAAAATTGCAATTGGCAATCACAATTTGAATGGAGAAAAAGATAATTAAATCAAATGATGCTTGATTATCATATTAAATATGAATCAAAAACTTACCAGAACTTAAAGTTTGTTTATGTCCAATAAAATAATGAATAAAATTTTGTTAATAAAACGAAAATAATTAATGTCAATGATTACTGTTACTATATATCTCTATGCAAAGTTAACAAAATAACTCTTAACAAAGTTTATGCATTATTTACAGAGATTATTATCTCTGTATATCTATAGTCTACAGAGATAATATTAGTGCTCATTCCTAACAAGTTACACATTGTTTCTCTTTTAATAAGTTACTAAATATGGCAAATTAATTCTCTTAACTAAATAAAATTTTTAGGTATTTAGAATTTTTTCCTGACGAGGAAAAGCTCCCTGGAGTACTGTATTTTGAGAAGTCAGCAAATTATTTTGATTCATTAAAATCACCTCAGCGTGCGCACTCTCTCATTCCAAATGCCAAGCTGATTGTTATATTAACTGACCCTAGAGTGAGAGCCCATTCTTGGTATCAGGTATTTTTTTATTAGTTATTTTTTGAAGTCATTATATGAATATTTTTAAATATTTTTATATTATTGATGAATTATAATGAATTTCTCAGTAGTCTATGATTAAAATATATGAAAAAAGATTAAAGCTATGAAAATCAACAGAATGGTAACAAGCTTCAAAAAAAATTATCTGCAATTAAGTTACAATTTTAAATTCTGAATTGTGAAATAATGTTTTTTAATGTTAATCAAAACAGCTCAAAATATGTAAGTGAAAAGAAAAAAGACCATAGAACTACTGACACACATCATATTTAATGATTTTTTAATTTTTTTATTTTAACAATAAAAATGAAGTTTTTAATTAAAATAATTCATGTTTATGAATTATTTTAAATAAAATAATTCATAAGTATGAATTTATGCTATTCGTTGTGTTATCCTTACAATTTATTGCGTAATTCTTGTGATTCACTGTATGATCTTTATGATTGTTTGAGAAAAATGTAGTTATATTTTATTACACTTAGTTTTTATGTTTATTTTTGTTTCAACATTAATTTGGTTTTGTAGCATATGCTCAGTAAAAAGGATGCCATCACACAGAATTTTACGTTTTATGAAGTTGTAACTGGAATTATAAACAAAGACAGTGAAATAAATGAAACATTGTTCTCCCTACTTCGTGGCAAATGTTTAATACCAGGAAGGTACGCAGAAAGTTTGGAGCTATGGTTGAAGTATTACTCTTCAAACCAGGTTGTTTTTTTTAATTTTTTTTAGTTTACTTTTGCTGTGCAGTTATTTTTAATTAAAACTAATTTAGAGAATCGTGTATGTCTTTTATCAATGAAAAAGTAGTAATTTTCATAGACTAGATTGGTTAAATATTTATTAATGACATTTTATTATTGATATTATATATATATATATATATATATATATATATATATATATATATATATATATATATATATATATATATATATATATATATATATATATATATATATATATATATATATATATAGTACTGGTATTTTACATAACAAAAAATAGAAAACTTTAAAAGTGCTTGAAGTTGTAAGCAACTATTGCATTTTACTGCATAAAGTTGCGACTGTGCTCTTTAACATTTTTGCCAAAAAATTAAACTCGTCATGAATTGATTTCAGTGCTTGTTTAAAATTCTAAAGATCTTTAATAAATTATTGATTAAATATAGAATCGTTGACAGTTGACAAAAAAATCTTATTGTTACCAAGTTTAAAAAAATCATCATTCCAAAAGTTTAAACTTTTATGTTTTTAAATTTGAGAATATTTCCCTCAACTGTTTTCGTGTAGTTGTCAAATGTTGTCAATGTTGAAATATTAGTTTAAAATCCGGTGTTGTTGGAAGAAATTTGTTATCTGATGATCCATAAAAATAAGTATTTGTGTGCAAATTCGTAAAAGTAATGTAAAGGTGTGTGATCATGCATCATATATAAGTGTAACAATCTAGGATAACATAATCTAAATGTAAAAAAATATAAAATTGAAAAATACATATATATATATATATATATATATATATATATATATATATATATATATATATATATATATATATATATTAAATATATAAAAACATCAATTAATATGAGTTCCCTCAATACTATTGTTAATCTATTTGAAATTTTCGCTGGATTATAGTTACCAGCATCATCAGCTATAATATCGTAATTAAAAATTACAATTATGGCCGTTATAATAAATTACAAAAATTAAACTTTGACGTCAGCGTTAAAACAGCTTCTTTGACGCAAGAATGCAAAAATTGGAGTCCAAAATTTAGTTTTAACGTATTGTCCGTTATCTAAGTTTATTCCACCATAAATTAGAGAGCATTGATGTTTTTGAATCTCTAATGTTTCATGAACTTTCCTATCAAATTTATTATATTCTTCTTTAAGTGTTTTAAGTTTATCCCGATTAATTTCTTCTCTACAGTCTTTTTTATGAAGAGCTATAGCCGACTGATAATACTTATCTTCCATCATACATTTTTGGTGTTGTTGAGATCTTTTTCTAATTTGTAATTTTATTTCACCAACACACTTTGGAGCAATTACATTCAATCAAATAAATTCCAGGTTTACTGTTGTCCGGTAGCCTCGATTTGTTTTTTGATGTTAGTAGAGTCCTTAAATTATGATTAGATTTAAAAACAGTTTGGTAACCAGCTTTCCGAAATATTTTTCGGAAAGCTGGTTAATAAGTTTTTGGGATAATAATGGTAACCAAGGTAAAGAGATTGTAGAAAGTGTATTTGGATTTGTTGGTATTAGAATTTTGTTTGCATTAGGGATTTCATTCATGTTATTAGATTTTTTTATTTTAACCTGGTTAGCAATGATTTGAAGCTGACTTTTGTTATAACCATTTTCACTAAATGTATTAATTAAAAAATCAATCTCATCTTGAAGATATGCCTCGCTACATATGCTGTAAGCTCTATGAATATAACCTTTGAATATTGACTTCAAAGTTTCTGGATAATGATTTGAATGAGGTTTAATCTGAATATTGGTTGTGCCCTCTCGAGCCGAATGAACCAGAAGATGTTGACCATTTGGTTAAAAGGGAGGTGTATGTTCACGAGGCGATTAGTGTAAATAATAGTTTAATGTAAATAATATAGTTGTATTATAAACATCTCTAAGCGTCATATATTGACATTGGAGATTTCCTTCGCTAATGAGGCAATTAGCAAATTTTTTATATAGATCATTATAAAGTTAGAAAATAACTATAATATCTCTCTTGGGGAAATATTATATGGTATAAATAATAGTGTATAAACTTATAAGAGAGGCGTTTTTTTGTTAGTTGGTAATTAACGTTAAAATTGAAATATATAATGCTAAAATAAGTCACATTTTATTATCGAGTTTAATACGTCCTACGCGCTTTTACACGAACACTTGTAACTCGTCCTTATCGATAATACAGGCCTTAGTTTTGTTGATAAAATCATTGTAATTTTTTAACCTTATTGGATATAGATAGATCAAAGAAAGGCATTAAAATAATATAACAAAGATCAATAGATCAAAGAAAGGCATTAAAAGAAATTAAAGAAAATAATTACATTGATATATATCCGTTTGATAAAGGTACCGGTTTCGTAAGAATAGAACACAATAGAGCTATAGAAAAAAATTGGGAACAGATTGGCACAACTAAAATTATTAATATAGATCCTACTGTTATGCAGCTAAAGTAAGGTCCTTCCTATTTTCGAAAGCAGAATATTATAGCATATACCCTAGTGATCCTGTACCACCTCATTTATATGGTCTTATCAAGGTTCATAAACCCGATGAATTGTATTCAATGAGAGTTGTAGTATCAACGATCGGCACACCTAGCTAGGGAATTTCAAAGTACTTGGTTAAAAAAATACAATCATGAAAATGAATGAAAATCCAATAAGGTTAAAAAATTCCAATGATTTTATCAACAAAACTAAGGCCTGTATTATCGATAAGGACGAGTTACAAGTATCTTTTCATATTGTGAGTTTATATCCATCAATACCATTACAAGAAGCAACAGTTATTCTTTTAGATCAATTAAATAAAAACATTTCCTATAAAAACTCAACCAAACTTGATATAGTAGAAACTAAACAACTAATAGAACTTTGCTTATTTCGTAGTTACTTTATGTGGAACAACGAGATACACGAATTAGAGAACTCAGGCCGTATTGGATTATCTTTTATGGTTGTTTTAGCTGAGAGGTTTCTATAGCACCACAAGGAAAACGCATTAAAAATAGCAAAGACTATAAATCCTTTTATTGATGTTAAATATTTTCTTCGATATGTAGACAACAGTCATGCTAGATTTTTTAATTTACAACAGGCAAAACAATTCCAAAATATACTTAACAAACAACATCCATCATTAAAATATACAATAGAAGCTGAAAATGAATTAAAAACTCTAAATTTTCTTGATGCCACCATAATTAACAATGCTAATGGTAAATATGATTTTAAAGTTTATAGGAAAGATGCTATAACCAATGTGCAGATTAAACCTCATTCAAATCATGATCCAGAAAGTCAAATATTTAAAGTCAATATTCAAAGGTTATATTTATAGAGCTTACAGCATGTGTAGCGAGGCATATCTTCAAGAGGAGATTTTTTAATTAATACATTCAGTGAAAATGGTTATAGCAAAAGTCAGCTTCAAATCATTGCTAACCAGGTTAAAATAAAAAAATCTAATAACATGAATGAAATCCCTAATGCAAACAAAATTCTAATACCAACAAATCCAAATACACTTTCTACAATCTCTTTACCTTGGATACCATTATTATCCCAAAAACTTATTAACCAGCTTTCCGAAAAATATTTCGGAAAGCTGGTTACCAAACTGTTTTTAAATCTAATCATAATTTAAGGACTCTACTAACATCAAAAAACAAATCGAGGCTACCGGACAACAGTAAACCTGGAATTTATTTGATTGAATGTAATTGCTCCAAAGTGTGTTGGTGAAATAAAATTACAAATTAGAAAAAGATCTCAACAACACCAAAAATGTATGATGGAAGATGAATATTATCAGTCGGCTATAGCTCTTCATAAAAAAGACTGTAGAGAAGAAATTAATTGGGATAAAGTTAAAACACTTAAAGAAGAATATAATAATTTTGATAGGAAAGTTCATGAAGCATTAGAGATTTAAAAACATCTATGCTCTCCAATTTATAGTGGAATAAACTTAGATAACGGACAATACATTAAAACTAAATTTTGGACTCCATTTTTAGCATTCTTGCGTCAAAGATGCTGTTCTAACGCTGACGTCAAAGTTTAATTTTTGTAATTTATTATAACGGTCATAATTGTAATTTTTAATTACGATATTATAGCTGATGATGCTGGTAACTATAATCTAGCGAAAATTTCAAATAAATTAACAATAGTATTGAGAGAACTCGTATTAATTGATGTTTTTATATTATATATATATATATATATATATATATATATATATATATATATATATATATATATATATATATATATATATATATATATATATATATATATATATATATATATATATATATATATATATATATATATGTATATATATATATATATATATATATGTATATATATATATATATATATATATATATATATATATATATATATATATATATACAGAAATAGGTCTAGCGGGCAAATAATGAATTTAAAAAGAAAAGTACTGCAATTTATGTACTGAAAACTTTTTCAATGTTTAAACTTTTAAACTTAATTTGAAAGTTCTATTCTCAAGCTTCTTACAGTTCTTGCATATAAAGTTTGAACTTTAAAATAGTTAAAAATCGCTTTTTTGAGGTAATTATGCAAATTTATTTTGATGAACTGAAATAAAAACCTTTTACTTTTTAGTTGAGTTTTTTTTTAAATTAATTTTGTGCAAAAAGTCTGATTTAAAAGCACTTATTTGTATGCAAAAGATTCATTTTATGTATCATTTTGTTTTGAGTTCTTAAATCACATAGTATCAGATAAAAAGTCAATTAGGATGCATATGGCGTCTAGTACCTTAATTTCTTGATTTTACAAACCATTAAAAATATCTTGATTAAATTTTAATATTTGTAGAATTATATAATCATTTTTGAAAAAATATCTCAAGGTTGTTGCCATGTTAACTGCGTAAGAGTTGCTCAAACTTTAGAAGACATACAATAATTGAAAATAAACTGTAATATTTGTAATAACTCTAATAAAATAAACTATGATATTTTTAATAAAGGTTTTGTCTATATTGTTTTATTATTTATTTTATTTTGATATTGTTCTTATTGATATCATGGTTCCCTTTTTTATATATAAAATTTTCATATAAAAATCAGGGTCACCTTTGGTCACCGTGCCTTTTTAAATTTTTTTTTTAATTTGATTTTTGATTCTTTTAATAGGGTGGATTAAAAAACATACAGATTAAAAAACAAAAATTGTTTTCTAATAGCTCTAAATATATGCAATATAATAAAATATCACTGGGTTAACAAAACATTTTGAAAAAAAATATTTTTAGAGGTGCCCCAAATCCCTTGAACATTTATAGGGTCCCTAATATTCTGGGAAAAAAATTCTTCAAAAGTAGGTCAACCTGGTATTCAAAAGAAGTGAAATTTTATAAAATAAATATTTTTTTATAAAAAACAGACAGATTAAAAAACAAAAATTGTTTTCTAATAGCTCTAAATATATGCAATATAATAAAATATCACTGGGTTAACAAAAAATTTTGAAAAAAAATATTTTTAGAGGTGCCCCAAATCCCTTGAACATTTATAGGGTCCCTAATATTCTGGGAAAAAAATTCTTCAAAAGTAGGTCAACCTGGTATTCAAAAGAAGTGAAATTTTATAAAATAAATATTTGCAATATAATAATATATGCAATATAAAAAAACATATCGAAAAAGTATATATTATCAAAAAAGTATATTTTATTGAACTTTTTATACCAGGTTTACCTACTTTTGTAGAACTCTTTTTCAAGAATATTAGGGACTGTGTAAATGTTCAGTTGACTTGGGGTACCTCTAAAAATATTTTTTATTACAAAATTTTTTTAAATCCAGTGACAATTTATTATATCGCGTATATTTAGAGCTATTACAAGACAGTTTTAAAAAATTTCTGTTTTTCAATGCATCCTATCCTTTAATTTAAATTATTTTGTGTAAAAATTAATTTCAAAAATTTTAACTTTTATGTAGAAAATTTTAACTTTTTTGCAATTTTTTGCAAATTGAAATTTTAATTTTTATGTAGTAATTTAATAATCGTTATAAAAATCAAGGTTTAGTGAATTGATAACAATTATTTTTCGTTTTATATTTTTATCTATAAATTTTGAGTTTTTCAACTTTTTAAAAGTCTGTTTAAGTTGTTTATTACAATTAAGTTGTTTACACTTTGTAAATTTTTTCTTGGATCTAAGAAATATTTTTATATAATAATATTTTTAATAATATTTTTAAAAATATTGTTTTAGTTACTTTATTATGTCTAATTATGATGATTTATGTAGATCTACGTCATGGATGGGATGAAGTTGCGTCATAAACCTCATGTAGCAATGAAAGAATTGATAAATTTTTTAAACATTTCTGATTTCCCTTATGAACGTTTAATAAAGTAAATCTTTAGATATAATGTTTGTTATCCATTTTATTTGTCATCCATTTTATCTACTATAAGATGTTACAAATTTTTTTGTTAACAGTTTTCATTTGTTTTTAATACAGATGGAGCACTCAAAAGCGCTTCTACTGTCCAATAAATAGTTCTGGCATCTTAGATTGTCTCGGCAAAGGAAAAGGTCGAATTTATTCTGATATGAGCGAAGATGCTTTTCAGTTTCTTACAGATTATTACAAATTACCGAATTTGCGACTTATTGAGCTTCTGAAAAAACACGGAAAACCTCTGCCATCATTTCTTATTGAGGACAATAGCTTAACGTAACTCTATAATAATATAAAAGGACCTTAGATCATGATATTCAAATTATTTTTTATTAACTGGCATTTTAGTAAATGCTGAAAAATGAGAATTTTAATTTTCTTTTTTATTTTTCACATTAGAACTTCAGCCGTTCATCATTACTATTAGTTATAACTACTTACTTTTGCGAGTAATAAAGTACATATATATATATATATATATATATATATATATATATATATATATATATATATATATATATATATATATATATATATATATATATATATATATATATATATATATATATATATATATATATATATATATACATACATATAAACATGTATGTGTGTATGTATTATATTATACGCAAGAACTTATAAGATTTTGTAAATATATATTTATACTTGTTTTTAAATACCATTTATTTTTTATTGTATTATTTTTTAGCTATTTTATTATTAGAAGATATTATACAAAGTTATCTTAGATATCTGTGTGTAAATTATAAATAAAACGTCGTACCAAGATGGGTGACGTTTCAAAAAAAACGGGTGGATGGAAGCAGCCTGATTATAAGGCAAAATAAGTAATTCATTATGGTTTCCTCACCTCTCAGAACCAGTTATTACATCAGTAGGTATATTATATTAGTTATTAGATTGGAAATGATTTTTTATTATGTTCAAAGTTATTAGATTAAAGTTTTAACAAAAGAGTTTTAAGTATGTTCGTATTTACAAAATCGATTTTAAACTCAAAATCTGCAACTAAAGTTCGACTTGTGTGAATTTTATCTTATTTTTTGAAATTTTGTATCAATAGTTACAATTTATGTTACGCATACTATGGTTATTAGTAAATATACAAGTTATTTTATTATAGAGAATAATAACTGATATTGTGATTTGTCACATCCGCTTGATTTCAACTCGTCAGGTGTTGGTAAACTTCAGGTGGTAAACTTGCTCCTTTTATGTTCCCCAGCCTTAAACATCTGCATCAACAATACTTTTTGCTTTGTAAAACATCTGAACAATTTTCTTTCTGGTAATGCCCATCCAGTGATAGCTGTGAAGTTCTTAAGCCGTATTTAAATGACAGAATGATTAAGTTTTGTGAATTTCATTTTTTTGACATGAAATTGCTTTGTCTACCATAGGTTTTGCCACATATCAAGATGTGTAATAAAAAGCATGTGTTCTGCCAAGAATTTATCATTATAAAATGATTCAACCATTATGTCAACAAAAAACACATTATGTCAACAAAATTTTAATTTATTAACACGTTATTTTTTGTAAATTGATGACGCAGTATAACTTTTACAAGTTGAACTGTTGTAGGGCTTAACAAATTGAACTTAGAAATGGAATGGAATGTACATTTGTGTAGCTCCATTTTATACCTTCACCGCTTCGGAAATAATCCAAGCTATCATGTGATCAGGGGGAAATTAAAAATAAAAATAGCTGCTTATATTGATGATCAAATTTGGTCCTGATAAAGTAAAAGCTTCGAAAAGAAAAAGATTTGGATTCTGTTGTAACAACAGCAACATTTTTAAACTTGTTTTCCATTATGTTGAGCTTCATAACTCTTCTAGAATCAAAAAATTGTTTTTAGTATCAACAAACCTCATGACATGAGCTCTCGCAGGATTTTTCGATGTTTTATATTTAATTTAAAAAAAACCTAAAAACAGTATTTAAAAAACTTTAGAATTTTATTTAGAATTTAAAAGTTGACATAATACTTAAAAATTAAAGTAAATGATTTGGAATAATATCCCCTTTAACCTTGATGACCAGCTTCAATCTTCTTTCAATATCATTGCACGCAGCACGCACAGTTTCCAACGGCATTTTGTCCCAAATTTTGCTAATAACTTTCTTAAATTGCTCCAAATTTAAAAACCTATAATCGTTAAGATTAGCTAACATGTAAGGTCATACAAAATAATCAAGTGGATTGCAGTCTGGTTAGTTTGGAGGCCATTCTTCTTTGGTTAAAAAATCAGTCAAACTATTCTCGCACCAACAAAATTATTTTGCCTAACTTCGTCTTTTTTTTTTTTTTTTTTTTTTTTTGCTTGTTTGTTTGTTTACATTTGACGTAATATATAAATTACATATTTTTTTCAAATACAAACAAGGCTTCTAAAAGAAGATCACAATGATCTTATCGTCAGAAGTCTTTTACAAAAGAGAGTACGTAACATATTATAAAAACGCCTTTTTACAATAAAAGTACGTAAAAAATCAAAAATTATAAAAAACAATAAATCGTATTTACATAAATGAAAATAAATTGTAAACAAGTATAAAACAAAATTTGAACATACATGACAATAACTTGAACATACATGACAATAAAAATCATTATTATTTTGTTTTTTATCACAAAATAAATAAAGATATTTTCAATAGAAAGAATGTGGTCTTTTAATTTATTTTTAAAAACAGGATAAGTTAGGGGTAAATCGAAGTTAGGCAAAATAATTTTGTTCCAGAAATGAGCTGCACGATAAGTGATACAAAATTGATTGAATTTTGTTCGACAGAATGGTTCATTTAAACAATTATTATTCCTTATGTTAAACTTGCTTAATGGTCTCAAAATAAAAAGATCTTTAAAAATTAAAGGAGATAAATCATGCTTCCACATATAGACAAAAGATAAATTTTTATATAAGTTTAGTTTATATATATCTAAGATTTTCATTTGATTAAAAAATATTGAGGAATGTGCGAACCGATCCGCAGAATTAATTAAACGGATCGCATGTTTCTGACGGCGATAGAGACATTGTAACTTGCTTTGATCAGTGCTACCCTAGGCTATAACTTCATAACTTATATAACTGTGGATAAAAGAGTAATAAAGTTTAGTTAAATTATTTTTATCTAAAAGTTTCAAAAAGTATCGGAACTTTATATAAGGCGCGTGCCTTATATAAAATTCCGATACTTTTTGAAACTTTTGAGCAAACATAGTTAATATGATGTTTCCATGTGATTTTCTCGTCAATAAAAACCCCCAGGTATTTTTTATTATTAGTTACAGAATCTCTTTTAATTTCAATATGTTCAATAAGAATTTTTGGTAGATTTGGAGGTAGAAAACGTTTTTTGAAGAGCGGGTGGAAAAAAATCCATTTTGTTTTGGTTATATTTAATGTTAATTTGTTACTTTTAAACCATTTAGATATGTTTTGAAGTTCTTTGTTCATCATGGAGAAAAGGAGATAGATGTCACTGCTAGAGAGAAATAAATTTGCGTCATCAGCAAACATAATACTTAGAAGATTTGATTCTTTATGCAAGTCGTTGATATATATAAGAAATATTAGAAGGCCTAAGATGGAACCTTGCGGAACACCACAGGAAACATTTAAAAACTGTTTATGATTAAGTTCATTACAAGAAACAAATTGTTTTCTGTTCGATAAATAACTTTGAAACCATTTAATTACTCTTTCATTTATTCCGTAATAACTAAGTTTATAAAGCAAAATATCATGATCGACAGTATCAAATGCTTTTGAAAGATCAATAAAAATTCCTAATGTAAATTGAGATTTTTCAAAAGAATTGGAAATTTGACGCACCAACTGAATAATTGCATGCTCAGTTGAGTTATTCTTTTTAAAGCCAAACTGATTTTTGTATAATAAATTATTTAAACTAAAATAATTAAATACTCTATTGAACATGATTCTTTCTTGTATTTTTGAAAATAAAGATAAAATAGAAATAGGCCGGTAATTACTTATATCAGATTTTTCACCACCTTCGAAAAGTGGAATGACTTTAACAATTTTCAATTGATCAGGAAAGATTCCTTTTTTTACACCTTTTTTTATTTTTACACCTTTTTTGATGAAAATCAAGGGCAATTTATCTCTTGGACAGATTGCACCCCAAACCATTACAGAGGCTGCGTTTTGGAATCTTGGAACATGTCTTTTATTGTCTGGGATGTCCTCAATTGAAACAGACTAGTTTCTGTCATTTTGGGAGTTATGAGATTGTTGCAAAACGAAACGTTTTTCATCAGAAAATATAATTTCATCACTTCCGTGCCAGGCCAAAATGTTTTTTGCTCTTTCGACGTGTTTACATTTTGATGGTTTGGAAACTCCATGAACTTTACGTTTTTTGAAAGGCTTTAAATCCTTTTTAAAAATAATTTGCACTGTTTCACGGTTCATTCCGAGATCTTTTGCTACTTTTTTTTTTTTTAATTTGTTATTTTAGGTGCCCCAAGAAGTCTTAACAGTCTTGTCACAGAAAAGTGCATTTAACCAGAAAGTTCACGCCTCCTTCCTTACTGTGACGCAAAATATGTCCAAAGCTCGTTTCGAGTCTGGATTTCCTGCTTATAAAGCAAGCGCTCTAACCATTGCACCACGGCCGCACACTTTCCTGGCAGATCGAGCATAACTTCGTCGAATTCGTCTTCTGATCACTTTGATGGCTGCTGGAGTACTTACAGAGCGTTTGCGTCACGATCTTGGGTGGTCAGTGGTAGTACTCGTATCTTGGAAGCGTTCAATGGTACGATAAACCATATTTCTGGTGACTCCAACACTTTTCAGGGCAAGCGAATAAAGCTTTAGGGATAGTCTATAAATTACGCTACGCTAAATTTAACTAATAGACAAAACAGAAAAGACCAAAAAGTTTTCTCTCGCAAAGTTTTTAATTTCACAAAAAATTAAAATAGTAAATTAAATTTAGTAAAAACCGCCGCGCAAAATAGCTTTGCGTAATTTATGGACAATCCCTAATCGGTCTTGTTACAGAGCACGGCAGGAGAGCACTTAACTAAGAAGTTCACGCTTTCTTTCTTACCAACGTTTCAATAACAATCAGAACTGCAATCGAACCTTAAACCTCTCGATTTTGAAACAAGTACTCTAACCCCTGCGTCACGGTTGCTCATATTTTTCAATGAAGAGTTTTCTTAGTTGCCAAATAATTTTAGATAATCTTAAAGACATGCGATATAATTTTTTTGTTATAAAAAAATTGTTTCTAACCATTTATTGTAAAACTGATTTCCCTTAAGTTTAAACAGGTGTCTAAGAAGGCGTTTTTTCTTCCTAACATTGACAAGCTAAGAAAAAAAAAATGCAAGTTTTTACTTACTCCAAAGATATTGGGTCCCAAAATTTGTCCATTTTTGAAGTTTTTTTTTTTAAGTTGATTTACGTGCCCCAAGAAGTCCTTACGGTCTTATCACAGAGCACCGCAGAAGAGCATTTAATAGGATGTTCACGCCTCCTTCCCAACCGATGTCACAAAGCTTGCCCTGAGGTGGGGTATGAACCACAGGGCTTACGTTTCTTAGACAAGTGCGCTACCACTGCGCCACGGCTGCTTTATTCACATATAAAGCGATAAATTATTCACGTATAGAGCAAAAGTACTACTTTGAGGGGAAATTTATTATTATGACAAACATTTTTCTTTTTAATTTTTCTGCTACTCTTGATAGACTTCTACACTAAAAGTAATTTTAAAAAATTCTAAATGATATATTTTTAAAAAATTCTTTTGCTTGCTTAATAAAAAAAAAATGTTCTAAATAAAAGTAGTCTTAGCAATTTTAGTTCAAAATTAGCTAATTTAGCTAAATAAGACTACTTATAAAGACGCATCAACGTGTACCATGGAATTGCTCATTTTTTTTTTAATTTTAAATACAATCCAGTTAAATAGAATCTTGATACACGTTGGCAAAAGACCAAATTTGTATAAAATCTGTCAGACATTGAAGCCCGATAAAGCTACAGTATTATGACTCCATGCCTGATGACAGATCGACTTGAGTACTTGAGGCAGGCACTACCACGACTCTAAAGCCAACTTAGAACAGTGAAAGAAGATTGTCCCGATCTTTTAAAGCAAGAGGGCATTATTTCCTTTGTGCATATTGAGGTAGCGACATTGCTCTTGTGCTTGGATCCTATAAACTTTTCTTCACTTTTACTAAATGCTGAAAATTTTTGAATACCTATTGCATGCCAAACTACCTTTTATTATTCAAATAATTGTTACCCATTTATACAAATGATACCACGTTTTAATTTTGATAGTAAAATATCCGTTTTCTTCGTAATGTATTTATGATTACAGAATATTTTGTGTAGTATGCTAGATTTTTTTTCCTACCAGTTACTTCGTTTATAATGTACCATGTTTAATTTACATTTATATTGCTAATTAGAGAAATAATTTACTTTTTGCATATTATTATTAAAAATATTTATTGTTATTGGGTCGCTAAATTTATACTAACTCTAATAGGACAGTCGGTAAAGGTAATTGTTTGTTTTAAATGAATCGGTGAATGTTAAAAGGGCGGAAGTCTAGCAATGTAAATTTTCGGAAATCAAAGAAAAACTGCATATTCCCCCATAGTAAATTTTTGTTAATGTTCAATTTTTTTTCTAAAGAGAATTATGATTTTCACCTTCAAAAAAATTTTTTAAACCATTAACAAAAATTTATCACGAGAAGAAATGCAGTTTTTTTTAGTTTCCCAAAAGTTTGCATTGTTGGACTTTTAACATTCACCAATTCAAATATTGTCATAAAAACTGTTTAATTTATAGTCTTTGTTATAAAGAAAATAAATAATATTCAAGACCCCAAGAAAAAAGTTTTTGCCCGTCTTCACTCTTATTATAAAGGTACGCTTGGCACGACTTCGATGACTCCAATTACCAAGATTAAACATAAATTTTATAATAATTTTTTTCAAGCTTTGTAAAATTTAAGAATATATAAGGCAATATGTAAAAAATAAACAAAATTAAATATATTATTTTCCAATATAAATGTATTTACAAATTAAAAATCAGAAATAAATAAACTGTTTTTTGCATTAAATCTCTTTATACCTAAGATAAACTCTATTAAATTCGTAAAACTTTAATAAAGGAACAAACAACACAAATATATATATATATATATATATATATATATATATATATATATATATATATATATATATATATATATATATATATATAGCATATAAAAACTAAAAGAAGAAAACAGATATCATATTAAAAAACGTTGATCAACCATTGTTTTGCGAGCTAAGTTCTTTTTTCCAAAAGTGTGTCTGACACTTACTATAGCACTGTCAATAAAATAACTCAAAACGACGGCAAGAATGGTATTATAGCCGGATAACCAGTCAACAACGAGATAAAACAATAATGTAAATAGAAGCAAATTCCACTCTTGACCATATAACAGCACTTCTGTAAAAACACGCCGCTCGTCGTTATAAAAAATACCTAGTAAAACCATACAAAAAAAACCTAGTAATACCATTAAAAAATACCATAAAAAATACATTTAAAATTTTAACCTTATTTTATCATAAAACAAAAAATATAATAAAAAGTAAAAAACATAAAGTAAAGAGAGTGGTGAGGTTAACAGAAAATAAAAAAAAATTGAAGGACAATTCACGGAATGCACTAAAATTCTAAATATGTTCATTTTAATGAATTGCAAATCCACTACAAAAATGTTTGCTGGGTTGGTTTTACATAAGAAATGAATTCAAACTTGCAAACTTTTATTTTTAGTTTAGATTTTCTAAATAAAAAAGACATTCATTGTTTGCACTTCCTGCATTTTCTAAAGTTAAATAGAAATTCCATATTTTTTAAAAGTACATAAAACTTGTTATTACGGTTAGTACAGTTTTTATAAAAATATAAATTTCAATACTATGGCAGTTGGTTTCGATAAAAAAATTTTGTTAAAAAAAATGTTGTTACATCTTTGGTAAAAACACAATAATCGGCCAGTAGGCTCTCAGTACGATTTCGGTATAATAATCTATCAGAACTCCAAGAATTCAGATCTGTTTCAGTAAAGTTGAAGCGAAACTTTAAGAGTTCAGAACTGTTTCAGTAAAGTTTAAACTTCAATACTCTGGAGACACAGTAAATAACTTATTTATTGCAAAAAATATATATTTATTGCAAAAAAAAAAAAAAAAATTTGATAAAATTTATTGCAAAAAAAACAAAAAAAAAATTTGATATTTATTAAAAAAAGATTTGATAAATTTATTGAAAAAGCTATTAAAGCAATTGCTACATTTTTTTGTTAAAGCCCAAAAAAGAAGGCCTAAGAAGTTCTCTTTCTGAGAAGTTAAGGTTAAAACCCTTTCTTTAAGAAGTCCTCTTTACCTAATAATCGTCTTTTATGTAAGACAACGTGGACAAATATAAATGTATTGTAGTAAATAAGATATTTATTTTTAACTGGAAGAATTTTAATTGCATGTAAGAGAAAATACTAAAGTTGCACATCATTTATGTTGCTCATTAAAGTCCAGCAACATTTATATTTTGTCACCATATTATTTTGCAGTACTCAGCCAACTGGTTCAGTACTCAGCCAACTGGTTCAGTACTCAGCCAACTGGTTCAGTACTCAGCCATACTGAAACCAGTTACTGTCCAACTGCAATTTCATTTCAAGTATTCAGTGTAACTTTGCAAAGGTAAACCCAATAACTATTTTAAAGATATTTTTCAAAAAACAATACTGAAGTTACATTGAAAATAAAATAAAGTCACACAGAAAGTTATTATTGAACTGATAATTGACAGCATGAAAGACAAAAGCATCAAAGTAACCTGACTAACATTAGTGTTGAAGAACTCTTCAAAAAAAAAGTTTCATTCCATACTTTGATTCTCATATCAGTTCTCCAAAAAGTCAATTTTGTCAACAGTGCACAATTCAACTTATTATTTTTGCATCTGTTTAAACTATACAAATTGAACATTTTTTTTTTTTTTTTTTTTTTTTTAACATCTTCACTTCCAACAAGGCTGCAAGCAACCACTATAAGAGTTGGAAGTTACTGGAAGAGAAAAGACTAAATCTGTAGAGCAAGATAACGATTGACTGATGACTTAAAAGATTGCAAATTATATGAATCAGGAAAGCAAGATGAAGGAAGCGAATTCCAAAGAACTGATGTTCGAGGAAAAAAACTAGAAGAATAAGAGTTTTTGAAGCACTTAGGAACAGTCACAGAAAAAGGATGAGACTTAATTGAATGGCGAGTAACACGAGAGTGAATTTTAGTAGATGGCACAAGGGACGCTAGCTCTTTAGAGCAGTGCCCATTATAGTATTTGTAGAAAAGAGAAAGAGAAGCAACATTACGACGATGTGACAAAGGTTGGAGATTGGCTGCAAGAGCAGGTCCAACTATGTTTACAATTCGTTTTTGCACCTTGTCTAAAAGAGAAAGAGCATCATTAGAAGATCCGCCCCAGATGTGGCAACAGTATTCCATACAGGGACGGATTTGAGACTTATAAAGATAGAGAATAGAATCTGGAGTAAGAAAGTGTCGAGCTCGATAAAGAGATGCAACCTTAGCAGATGCTAATTTTGCAATGGATTTGATATACGGTTTAAAAGAAAGATCAGAAGTAAGAGTTAATCCTAGAAGATGAATGGTAGATGACTCATCTAGTACATTACCATTCATAAATATAGGAAGATCTAAATTATTACGATAACGATTGGCCGAATAAAATTGAGTTTTATCTGAATTAAAGTTCACCAGCCACTGTGAGCCCCATGCTGTAGCAGAAGTGAGATCCTTTTCAAGCTCAGATACCCCCTCCAAGCAATCAGAGAGTGTAGGCTTCTTATCATGACAAGAGTAAATGGTAGTGTCGTCAGCGAATAATGCCACCTTAGATGTGAGAATATCTGGAAGATCGTTAATGTAAATTAAAAAGAGTATAGGGCCAAGGATTGAACCTTGAGGAACCCCTGAAGTTACAGGATGTGAAGAAGAGTGTTGTCCATCGAGGACAACTTTTATACTACGATTGGAAAGAAAGGACTCGATAATCTTAAAGACGTTACCAGCTACACCATAAGAAGAAAGCTTATGGAGAAGACCAGCATGCCAAACTTTATCAAAAGCTTTAGAAATGTCAAGTGCGATAGCCTTAACCTCTCCACCTCTATCTAATGCACGGTAAAACCTATCGGTTATTACTGTTAGCACATCAGCTGTAGAACGAGAAGACCGAAATCCATATTGATGATCAGAAAGTAAGTTATTTGATTCAAGATGAGAGATTAAGTGTTTGTTGATTAAAGATTCAAAAACCTTGCTTATGACAGGAAGAAGACTAATGGGACGGTAGTTAGATGAATCAGATCGCTCTCCGGAATTTTTGAAAATAGGGATAACAGATGCTGCTTTCCAGCATGATGGAAAACAAGACTCTGATAAGCACTTGTTAAATAGTTTAGAAAGTATGGATGAAAGCTCCGGAAAACACCTCTGCAAAACTACAACAGGAATGTTGTCAGGACCACAAGCTGTTGAAGAGTCTAAGCAGGAAATTACTTTAGTTACAGAAGCTGAAGTGATGCGAATGTCAAGCAAGGGATCAACCTGTTTGACGGCTATGTCAGGTAAAACGCAACTAGTGGAATCAAGAGATGATATTGATGAAAAGTTCTTAGCAAACAATTCAGCTTTGTCTTTAGGTGAGGTGACAAAGTCTGAACCATACAAGAGAGAAGGAATAACAGATTTGCCCTTATTATTGATACTGTTAAAGATTCTCCAGAAGTCTCGAGAGCCTAATTTTTGTGATGAGATACGAGATTTAATGACCTGGGAATAGCGAGCTTTGGCGTCAGACAAAACCTTTTTACAATGGTTTCTGGCGATAGTGAACAGATGTCTGTTTTCTGGAGAATTGTTTTGCTGATAGATATGGAAGTAACGGTTTCGATTAGAAATTGCTGCAGCGCAATGTGAGGAAAACCAAGGAGAAGAGTGAGGCTTAACCTGGAATCGTCGAGAGGGAATAAAAGATTCCATGCCAGCCTGAATCCACGAAGTTATGTAAGAAGCACATTTGTCAGCAGGAAGACGAAAGATTTCTACCCAAGGGCCATCACAAAGAAAATCACGGAAAGAGTCCCAGTCAGCTTTAAGGTAGTTGTATGTGGTACGATGATAGGGGGATTCTGATGAAGTAGAAGAATTTGATAATAGTTTTAGAGAGATCAAACCGTGATCAGAAGTACCTAAGGGTGAATGTGGAGAAATTGAGCACTGACTAGGATCCAAAACAAGACATAAGTCGAGTAGAGAAGGTAAATGATTAGGGTTGTCTGGAAAACGAGTTGGAAAGTTGACTATTTGAGTTAGAGATTGAGAAAGGCAAAAGTTGAGGGCCTTAACGCCAGCAGAGTCACTGACACAAGAGCCAAGCCAATCGGTGTGGTGGGCATTAAAGTCACCAACAACGACGATATTGGCCGATGGATAAAGAGAGAGGGCTTGGTCAATTTGATCAGAAATAACATCAAGAATAGTGCAATCTTGGGATGAGGGAGAGCGATATAGAACAAAGAGAAAGGCGATAGAGTGAAGTTGTGCTAAACGAAAGCACATAAATGAATAGTCTGTAGATTCAAACCTAGTTTCACGACAAATGGGTGAGTTCTTACGAATGTAGATGCCCAGGCCAAGCATGTGATTATTGGAGTCTTTACGAATTAAAGGAAGATAACCATCAACACTAAGATCACAAGATGGGACAGCCGAACTCAAATTAGTCTCACAAAGAGCAAGTAGGTCTGGTGAACTTTGCAAGAGATAAGACTCAACAGAAGAAAAGTTACTTCGAAGACCACGAATATTAGTAAATGATAGGTTTAGAGAACTTGGTGATGACAATGGTTTTTTGTGTTTTTTAGTTTTAGGTACTTTAGTCATTTTAAATTTATAAAAAACTTGACTCAAGTATAGATAGTACTCAGTACACTATTTAACAACTAAACAATAGCCTCATTACTATTAATAAACCCTAAGCCGTAACAAAGGGCTCCAAATGTGGCCTCTGCAATGCACACCAAAAGTACAAACAGGGACACCATCCATGCGCAACATGGCACTGTTAGTACTCTGATATTTTTCGGCTGTTGATGGAATCAGCCTCTCTGAGAGCTACCACAGAGTTCGGGAAACCTGACTACCAGCCGGCCTCAGAACCATAAAACTGAGTTTTAGAGCTGTACCCTCATTAGGAGATAATAGAATGAGTTGCCCAGTCATAAAAATAGAGACACAAGCAATACCCACGCATTGTTTCAAGAAGATCCAGCGTTCAACATCCTAAACTGGAAACAATGTATTAAAAATACATCTGCGCCAGCCTAATAGATGAGGAAGGGGTGCGAGGCTGGTCAACAGATAGAATCTGTTTACCCCTTAAACATTGACATTGACATATGAACATTGACATATGAACATTGACAAAATGAACTGCAACTAAAAAGACTTTATGGAAAAGTTTTGTTTATTGGAGATTTTTGTTATTAATAACAGTCCATTTTTATTTTCTCACAATATTGTCATAAAAAAATGTTGCTATAGTATGTCATTCATTAAAAACATGCTTAATAAATTAATATTTATCCCTCCCCTTTTCCCCTTTGAAAAAAAGTGCCAAAATTTCAGTCAAAACCAAGCTCTTCTGTCTGGAAGTATTTCACAAAATCATACTATTCAGTTTGTGAAGCAAAATCTAGCCAGTGCCATTTTTTATTAAAATGTAATGGTTGGAGCACATCAGGTCTGATTACCCACATGAGAACTATCCGTAGTATAATACTAAAAAAAAAGAAATTAGATGAAACATCTGTCGCATAAGTTCTTAAAAAACAAATAAATTCTTTAAATGTCAAACTTTGGCTGAATTGTTAGCAAAATGTGCCCCAAATGATGCAATACATAAATTTATTCAAAATAATTGTTTCCAAAATGCCTAAAAGTTGCAAAACTAGTTATGCTGCTTTGTTAAAAAAACAAGAAGCTGTGTGATGAAAAAAACTGATGGTTCTACCAAAAAATTAGTTATACAAAAATTGACAGACTTTGGGTTAGATTTTACGTACATAATTGCATCTACTCTCGATGGTGTGGCAACAATGTAAAAATATGGATGGATAAATGTAGAGAGTCAACTGTGTCACAATCAGAGCATTCATCTAATATTTTCTACAAAAAGTCACTAATAATTTCTACAAAAAGTCACATACCTGCGACAGCCAAGCGTGTTCAAGCGAAAAATCAAACAAAGAAAATGCAAATGAATATAATAAAGCAAGCAATTCCGAAGAATTTTGTTGGAATCTTTCTTCGAAAGAAGGTAATGGCTAGTAATCGACCGAAACAGAAAAAAAGCCGACACCGAAATAAACCAAAATTTCTGGTACTCTAGTTTGGTGCCAATACCGAAATCGACATTTGGAGCCATCTATAAAGGACATCACCATTTTTTAGTCAATTTTGACCCCTCCCCCCCTTTGTCACCGATTGTCTATTTCCCCTATACCCCCTTTGAATTTGAATTTGAATTTTAAACCCCAAAAAATTAATTTCATCTTGCAATGATGTTTGAATCTGCTGCTACACCTTTGAAAAATAAAATTAAAAATATTCTCATACATTATCTTCTTAAAAACACATGTTTACGTAGTTTCCATGTTAATTAAACTAAAATAAAAAATCTATAAAGTGACGTTTTTTTTCTGCAACCTCCCCCCTCCCCTTGTCTTTTTTATCTCAACCCCCTCCCTCCTCTATTTGGATGATGTCCTTTATGGATGGCCCCTTTCAGCAAATATTTTATCGAAACCGATATTTCGGCTAGTCAAAATTAATTTCATTAGAAAAACTTATCTAAAAATGCAATTTTACATTTGTTTTTTTAAACTCATATTATGTTAGAATCGATTACACGTGTATCAAAAATTGAGATTTAATACATAAGTCGGCATTATAAGTTAATAGTGAAAGTTAATAACTGGCAGATTTTTTGGTTTTCGGTACGTTTTTCAATCAAAATTTTACTTTTTACTGAATTTATAAACAGTAATGAAACTTTAATTTAGGTATCGGTTTAAATTCAAATTTCGACCGAAACCGATACCAAAACAGAATTTCGTACAATCACTAGTAGGTCCAAACAAAAAATAATAATTTTAATAACTTGTTGGTTTCTTCTATTTTTATTTCTGTTTATTTTCTTTTCTGTAATGATGTTTTTGAATACAATATGGTTAAATACATATAAACAAAGTGAGTTAAATAAGTTTTAATACCACTTGAAACCTTCCATTTTCTAAAAATACTAGCGCATGGCGGTTTTGTTGCCCCTGTAGACACTGAATGTACAATTTTAACTACTAACTTTGTAGTAATTCTGTTTGTAATTTTAAGAGATTATAGTGACAAGTCTTAAGATTTGCAGCGACATTTTTAATGATATCACAGAGAAACTCATGGAAGCAGCAACAAAACATTTCAAGATCACATCAATTCTGTATTGAATAATTCACATAAACTTGTTAAATTTTTCAAATCGTTAACTGTTTGTAGCTCCATATTGCAAAAGTTTTTGAACAAGAAAATAAAAAACTGAAACTTGACAACTCTTATGATTGAAAGATAAAATTAAAAATTTCATTCAAAAAACTGTTTTCACTCAAAAACCATTCAAAAAACTGTTTTCACTCAAAAACCATTCAAAAAACTGTTTTCACTCAAAAACCATTCAAAAAACTGTTTTCACTCAAAAACCATTCAAAAAACTGTTTTCACTCAAAAACCATTCAAAAAACTGTTTTCACTCAAAAACCATTCAAAAAACTGTTTTCACTCAAAAACCATTCAAAAAACTGTTTTCACTCAAAAACCATTCAAAAAACTGTTTTCACTCAAAAACCATTCAAAAAACTGTTTTCACTCAAAAACCATTCAAAAAACTGTTTTCACTCAAAAACCATTCAAAAAACTGTTTTCACTCAAAAAGCTATTTTCACTCAAAAAGCAATAGGATGAGTAACACAATAAAGATTTAGTGTCATTTATGAGATATTTGCAAAACCCCAATTCAACAATGTCATAAAATAATGATGACATATTGATAGATGAAATATTTATCAAATTTGATAAATATTTGAAGTCATCATTATGATGACTTTTCAAAGTCATCAATTATTCAGTATGAAAAAAATATCATCAAACAAAATGTTACCAAAGTATTAAATAATGTTTTGTGACAATCTTTGGGCCGATGCACCTCCTATATATCCTCTTGGAACCAAGTTGGTATGGAAGCTCTTATTCATTTTTGTCAGTTTCAATTAAAGTCTCATTCTACTCCATGGTTTTTACTTTCTTGTGCAGCTGCTTTATCTTTATCACCTGATCATATCATTTTTTTCACAAGAACAACTTTCTTGAGAACAAATGTCCTTTTAATATTGCATTATAATAGTACATTGAAACAGATACCTTATAGATCCGCCTAAAGTCTACTCATCAAAAAAAAAATTTAAATCTTTCTCTCTATTTTTTTTAAAAGTCTTTGATTAAATAAAAACAATTAAAATACATTTTTTGTAGAGCATTTCTCATTTTGATTTCAAATATACAACTTATTTTTCAACATGATGTTAAGTTGTAGAGATAATTGGGTTCAAATCTTTAACATTTTGGGATAAAACCCCTAATATTGTCAACAACAAAAAAATATATATATAAAAGTATGTCAACCTGAACCTCAAAAGAAGCATGTTTTCATAAAAATGTTAAAAATAATATTTGTTTTTAATAAAAATGAATACTTTTTACATTATTGTTGAGAAACATTTTGTTAAAAGTCTTTTAAGAGTCTTTAGCATTTTTTAAAAATATTTTTTTTCAATAAATTTTAAGTAAAAATATTTTTGTTTTCTAAAATCTCTATGAAAATTCGCTTTTTTTGAGACTCGGTTTGACATACTTTGAATAATTTTTTTTTGACAATAATAGGGCTTTTATCCCAAATGCTAAGGATTCAAACAAAAATATCTTTTTTGTTTGAATGGTGGAAAATGAGTTGCATATTTGAAATCAAAATGAGAAATGCTCTATAAAAAACATTGTTTGCCCAACATCAGAAAAAAATTTTTTTTTTGTTAACCTGTGTAATATATTCATATTCATATATAAATATTAAGTTACCATTAATAATTTTTTGTTATCAATCATCAATGTTCTTAAAAGAACAGAGCAATTACAAATTAGCAGAAAATCACTTAGCCAAATTTTTTCTCATTTAACACTGTGTTTCATCAATAAAGACTCATCAGAAATGAATGATCAAATTAATAAAACTTCAATTTATACCAAAAATTAAATTACAGAAAGTCACATGTCTTAACTACTGCAATTTTTCACACATTAGTTTAATTTACTGACACTATTATAAAAAGAATTCTTTAGAAATGATTACTTAAGCTTTTTTATAAAATATATTTTTTTTAAAGGGGAGTTAATGTAACCATTATTTGAGCTCACTTATTTTTATAGTTTTTTAGGAAAAACTTATTTTCGTGCCTGCATTTAGAAATCAATTCCGATTTTTTGTTTAATAAACATTCTTGGTTTGTAATAAACATTCTTGGTTTGTTCAAACTTTTCTTGTAAATAATAAATTAATTATATATATATATATATATTATATATATATATATATATATATATATAAATATATATATATATATATATATATATATATATATATATATATATATATATATATATATATATAGAGAGAGAGAGAGAGAGAGAGAGAGATGGAAATTAATTAACTAATAATTAATTTCCTAATTTAGTAACTGACTATTTGGTTAAATAATCAATTATTTAATAACTGGTTACCATCTCTAGAAATGACCTAACATACCTTTGTACTTTAGGAGCCCTAGAAATTAGGAAAAATGAGGTCAGCAATAAATTGCTGACCTCAAACTGATAGAGGTCAGCATCGAGTCAACAAAAAAATATTTGACACAAAGGGATTACCATTAAACATAGAAACAGGGTCAGCGATTTTTTTTCGACCTCAAACTAAGTTTGGTAGTTAGGTTTGCATTGTCGAATACTGACCCGAACTCCAAGGGCTGCTTTAGTGTATACTTACAAAAGTTTTAGATAATGACAATTCTATCAATGAAAATGTAATTACTACAAATAATGATGCCAACAAAAAAAAAAAAAAAAAAAAAAAAAAAAAAATTTTATTAAAAAGAAATAAAATTTTTTACTTTTTTCAAGTGGGGACTGCAATTCCAAATTAAAAAGCTTTTCCATAAGGAGCTTTTCTTTAACTATGTAATCATTATCTCGTAAAGCATGCTCAATAAATGTTGTTAGGTACTTGTTCATGGTTTCATAAGCATGCACGCTTAGCTCCAAAAAAGGAGGAAGAGAACTTCCTGGTAGAGCTACAAATATATGAAAAGTATTAGAATATTTAATATTTAATTATAAAAATATTTTATATATTACTAAGTCATTAAACTAAAATCAACACTTATATTTTTTTTTTACCTGGATTTTGCTTTGCAGAAGTTGGATTTCTTCTTGTATTGTTTTCATTTCTTGTCATCAAAGGTTGTAAAATTTTTTCATAAGTTAAACGAAATTTTGATGTAAGTGTAAATTCAAACACTTGATGATCACTGTTGGGTTCCAAACCTCTTTTACCACATAAATTTTCCTCTTCACGCTGAAATTGTTTAAATAATTCATGAAGACTGGTATCAGATCTGCCATGAATTGATCTTCCATGTATATAGAAGCCATATTGGGAGCAAGGCATAATAAACAAACTGATATTACTCAATGAACAAAAATCAACAAAATCTCTCAAAGAATCACCTAATGAAAAATATCAAATAAGAATGAAACACCATGTTCATCATAACTTTGACAAATCAAAAATTTTAGGATTTTTTAAAGGAGACTCTTTCCACACAAGCATTTCTTTAAAATATTTTTAGATAGTAGGAAAGCTGTGTGGCCTATTTTAAAACCTTGAGTTAACTATAATACCTGTTTAACTAAAATATTCTAAAAATCCTATTAAAACAGGCTCCTATTAAAACAGGCTTCTATTAAATTGTAAAAATAATTTGTTCTTTATCTGAGGTTTCTATATACTTTTATCTACGTATCTACAAAATATCATACAAAAGCTTTTTGAAATACTTACAAGATTTTAAAATACTTGCAAGATTTTGAAAAACCCTGATTCTAAAAAACTTATTACAGTAAGTTACAAAGCATTCTGATATAGAACAAAAATTTTTTGGAAAAAATGATGCAACTTATGATTGGTGACATGCAAAATGCTGTCAATTTATGATTGGTGTGACATGCAAAATACTGTCAATTTAAGATTGGTGTGACATGCAAAATGCTGTCAATTTATGATTGATGTGACATGTCAATAAATCAATAAGTTATAGACTATAGATTTTTAAAGTTATTATAATTTTAACTTAAATTTAATGTTTGATTATACCAATTTTCATTAACTAATACAATCATCATTTGATAAACTATAATGATTTTTTAAAAGTTGATATATCAATTTAAAAATTAATCTTTATATTATTGCATAAGTATTTTTTACTGCAGTTTAACTACACATAACTGGTATGTGTAATTAAACTGCAGTAAAAAATACTTATGCAATACAAAAATAAACTTATGCAATACAAAAATAAACTTATGCAATACAAAAATAAACTTATGCAATACAAAGATAAACTTATGCAATACAAAAATAAACTTACTTATAAATCTTTCATAGAAAATCCCAAAAATAATTGATTGTGTAATGGCAATTCCAAAAAACAAGAAACTTATGACTGCAAAGCGTAATGTAAAACTATATTCTCCAACATAATCTGTGCTTGTGACAGAGTACCGAGTTATTGGATCTGTTGTACACAAGTATTCAAATCCAAAAACCTTCAGGAATAATAGGACTAAAACTAATTGTAAAGTTGGTTTAATTCTTCGTATTGCTTGCAGTTCTTGCCATTCATTTGCAACAAATAAGGTACGTATTATACTGACTGGTGTTAAAACATTATTTTGAGAGCCATTTTCTATTGTAGTGACAACTCCACGAGGTCGTTCCCAGTCAATAATAAACATGTCAACATTTATCTAAAGCATAAAAAACTAGATAAAAAAGGTGGCTTTCAAAAATGTCCAATCATTTCAGCCCCATTTTTAAAAAAATAACTATAAATAGTAAATATAATCATAATCACAATACATATTTGCAAATGGTAATTCATTTAATATACTAAACACCAATTTTACTAAATAAAGTGTATATAAAAGATTTATTCTAAAGATTGAAGCAAATTTGTTCAAATGAATAAATTCCTTTTTATCTGATAAAAAACAAAGATTTGTGGCTGGAGATGCGTTATTTATACGTAAAAGTAGTAAACAAAATACCATAAGGATCTAATCTTGGTTCACTTTTACTTTAGACATATTAATAATCTGAGCCAAATTAATAATTAAAAAAAGTTCATGACAACTATGGTAAAGTTATAGTCAAGGTTAGTAAAGAAACACACACAAGTTTGCAAAATGATACTTTTTGATACCATGAAATTTATAATATAAATCTTAAATCTGGTAATAACTTGAAAAATGCACTTTAGTTTTGAAAAATGTTCAATCACACTTCTAAGTTAAAACCTTAAATATTTCATGAACATTTAAGTTTCGTTCTAAATAACTTAAAAAAATAAAAGATACAATAAAATATTTGCAAATCCAACTTTCTTGCATCTTGACTTATGATTTGACAATTGATATGAAAATTAAACTGTTTAAATTATCCTTAGTATTTTTTTATCTTATTTTTTTATAAGTTTTAGAAAATAAATTCTCCCCAGAAGCAACACTTACTGGAATTGTTAAATTCTCCCCAAAAGCAACACTTACTGGATTTGTTAAATTTTCTCCAGAAGCAACACTTAATGGAATCGTTAAATTCTCTCCAGAAGCAAAACTTACTGGAATTGTTATATTCTCCCCAGAAGCCTTACTTAAACTTATATGAGGGACAATAATTAAAAACCATTGGTTTAATAAAATGGTGATGAATTAATATAAAAAAATTCTTATAAATTAATATACAAATTAGAGCCTCCATTTCATCAACTAACGTTTTACTCTATGAGTCTGCTTCCAGCCTCACAATCATCAATAGGTAATTTGTTTGTGTAATCTTAGAATCTGTCAGAATAATTTCTAAATCTACTACATATTTTTTAAGTTCTTATTTTCTCATATTTTAAAACCTTCCTAAAAACCCTAATCATGACTTTTTATATTTAAATTTATATTTAACTTAATTGAAATCTGCTAAATTGAAACTTGATCTGAATTAAAAAATACCTAAAAGAAATCTTGAATCTGTTTGACGACGTTAATGTGTTAATCATCTCCTTAACAACTGAAATGTTTTTTTTTCTTTAAATTTTTATAAACAATTTTGAAGTTATTTTATCTTATTTTTTATAAAACTCTGGAGATATTGATTTTCTGGTGAAAGTCCAAAGATAAGTGTTTTTACCTTAAATAAAATGCACTCAAATTTAAGGTTTCTGTGTCGAGCAACTTAAAAGTTTTTAAATGAGGAAGTGTTGTTGATGTCTGATCTACTTTGAAGTTGCAAGACTTAGTTAAATTTTAAAGTTACTTTGAAGCTGCAAGACTCACTTAAAATTTAAAGTTACTTTGAAGTAGCAAGACTTACTTAAAGTTTAAAGTTACTTTGAAGTTGCAAGACTTATTTAAAATTGCAAGACTTATTTAAAGTTTAAAGTTACTTACAAAGTTTGAATTTTAATTTGGAAATAAAACTTTGGAAAAGTAAGGAAAAATAAATCATATCAAAAAAACTAAAGTCACTAAAAATTTATAATCCTTCATCAAGTGACTCCAAGTAAATTTTACTTTTGACTATATCACCCAATAGGAGTTATTGAAGTATCAATATATAGAGTAGTCAAGAATTTTTAAAAGTTTAAAAATTTTAACTTAAAAATTTAGCAGTTAAAATTATTTCTAAGATCTTTTTATATCTTATTCACTCTAATTTTTATTTTGAACTTTTTGGATAATTTTACTTAGAAAATGATCTTTGACTGGCAATTTGATGGTCCTGCATCATTCGATGGTCCTGCATAATTCGATGGTCCTGCATTATTGGATTAAATTTTCTATTTTATGCATAATCTTCTTTTCAAAGGATCTTTAAAATGCTAGTGCTTCTTGGATATGTACTTCATGGATATGTACTTTATGGGTGTGTACTTCATGAATATGTACTTCATGGTTATGTACTTCATGGATATGTACATTTTTTACTTGGTAATTTGTTTAGTTTAGTTTTTTTTACTCATGATTTTTTTAATAACTACAATTTACAAATATATAACAAATAAATATCACCAAGCCAATATCTATAACATATTTTACAGAACCATTGCATAAATATAACTAAAAAAAAGACAAATGTTAAAAACTTAGGAAAAAAGAAAAAGTAAATCAAAATAGCAATGATCAAAAGTGCCTATATACAGCGTATATAAGCTAGCAGTCAATTTGAACAACTAACACATAGAATTGACAGCCAATTACTATTTTTAAACAGTCAAAATTTTTAATCTTTTCATCATTCAAGTTTTTATCTTAAAATAACTCTCGCACATATTTTTATTCAATTAAAAAAGGAAGTTAACATTCAAGTAGTTGAATTTAATTAATTTTGAACTTTTTATAGTATCAAAACAATTTTTATAAAATATTAAAAACGTTTAAATTGAATATTTTATACTTAATAATACAAAAAATACTTTATACTTAATTTAAAAAAAAAAAAACATGAAATTCTACTGTACCAAGTAATTATGTTACATAACATTACAATTACATTATGCTACATAAAACAAAGTTTTTACTAAAAAAGCTATATATATATATATATATATATATATATATATATATATATATATATATATATATATATATATATATATATATATATATGGATATATATATATATGGATATATATATGGATATATATATGTATATATATATCAAAGGACTAGACCGAGCTGTCAAGCCCAAGTGAAATAAGGAAAAAATTACAGAAAGAGAATAAAAAAATAAAATAAAAAAGTATTATGAACAGATGTTCAGAGCAAAATATATATAATGATAATATAAAATATATATTAATGATAATATAAACATCGTGCATGTAATAGAAATAATAAACTCATATTCTAAATGGAAAACCACAACCAATGTGCAAGGTATACATAATACGCTCAGAGCAGGAAAATTGAACCTGGATTTACCAGGTCGACACTCTAACCAATAAGCTATAGATGCTCACATATAAACAAGATAATAATCGTAATAAAATAATAAAATAAACAATAAAATTAAATGACAATAAATAGCATACATACATACATACACACTTCCATATATATATATATATATATATATATATATATATATATATATATATATATATATATATATATATATATATATATATATATATATATATATATATATATATATATATAGAGAGAGAGAGAGAGAGAGAGAGAGAGAGAGAGAGCCTGATAAAATGGATAGCATCACTCGTCAGAGATGCATCCTTGCTATCTCTATCATCGCCTGTAGCCTACATCATATAAGTCATTATTGCAATAAAACGGACCTCACTACAGAAAAGCCAATCACCCATACCCCTACCAAATTTAGGCAACACCTATAATTTAAAAAAAAAATGGGGATATAGAGACAAACATGCACAAAAAGTATATATCATAAATCTACAAGCGATAAACAGTAATATTAAGTGTAAACAATAAAAAATAAAAAAAATAAAAAATATTATTAGTGTAAATACACATAAGGATATAAAAATTAAAATATATGTAAGTATCTTACCATGCTCGATAAGTAAATAAA